CCCAGCAGCTCATTTTTAGGAAATGATATAGAAAATGGTAACTTTTCTAGATTAATTTGCTCTAATTGCTAATCTTAGACATCGTATCTAACGTATAGCGCGTCTATAAAGTGAGGGTGTTTGATACCTGGTGGTTTTGCGAGCTTAAACGCGTCCACTGCTTCCTTCACAGACCATCCCAACTCCTCAATCAAATAACAACAAATTAAAAACCCCGTCCTATTGAAGCCGTAGTGACAATGCACCCCGATGAGTGGCTGCTCCTCGTCAGATTTTTCAAGAATCTCCTTTACCAAGTTGATAAATCTTCGTATGGATGCTTGATCGGGAACAACTTTGGATACTGTTGCACATTTATAGTAGTGGACGTGTTTGAAAGATTGAGGATTGTAAGGTGGGATATCTGATGATATATCAATGATGGCAATTAGTCTACCCCTGACGTTGCTTTCTTGGTTGTAATATTGCGATTCCACGACCCCTGGGGAGTGAACAGAATCTCCCTCCCTCAAAGTCTTCATTCCCAACAATGGGGAAATTTCGTTGCCTCTCTTGATATTATCAGATATGGGTTTCAAATTGAGCCACTTCTCTTCATTCTTCAACCCCCACTTGTCCCCTGATATTAGCGCTTTTACCTTCAAAACCCATGCAGGTGATAAATTTAGCCGCTGCGGTAGCTTGTACTCAATGTGATTCAAGATCAGTCCACTGGTTAGTTCTGGCTTTGCAAGCAATAATGAATGTCCTGCCTCTTTGACCTCCAATGCTGACGAAATCTTTCGGCCAAAAGTGGTCGTCAAGTAATGGTCAATGTGGTGGATATGCTTGACACTGGTCACATGGTCTTCTGACCCACACACCAACAATGTCTTTTGGTAAGCACGGTCATCCCTTTTGTTGTTATTGAATCGGTTAATCGCCACTACCAAGTCAGACATTTTGATTTTCTTGAACCCATGGACATATTTCAATAAGGTCGACGAGTCGATATCCAAATTCCAACGAAATTGCCTTAGTCTGTTGTATAACAGACTATTCCTTGGTAATTGTCGACGCACACTCTTGCTTTGCAAACCAGGAAGTCTGTCCAAAGTCCTAAACAAATTGAATAGGAACAGGAGATGGACAAATAGTCTGAATACCCAGGACAAACCTCCAACTTCCAAGTCTTGCAGCCCAGGTACCGAATCATCAATTAAGTCTGGCGGGGATAGAAGAACCAATCCTTCGACTCTGTGCTCCGGTAATTTCTTTGCAACACGAACAGCAAGATGAGTCCCCATGGAATGGCCAATCAAGATCACTTTCTTTTCAGGGACCTGTTTCTGTAGGTAAGCATATACAATATTGGCAATATTTTCCGTCAGAAAGTCCTCCCACGACAATTTTTGAACAGATGAGGAAATTCTTTGCTGCTCTGTCTCACTTATACTTGATATGGATTTGTTACGTCCAACACTTGCTTTAGAATTGCCAAAGCCCGGCAAATCCAAAGACACAATCTCTGCACATTGCGACAATAATCCCATCAAAGGTTCAAATTGGGACATCTGTCCACCCAAACCATGAATGAAAACCAAAATCGGACTATCCTTTAGCTCTTTGTTTACGTTTTCCAACACATCTCCATTCGCTTGCTGGTGGTTTTCATTTCTCATGAAGCTTTCAAGGGGGTGTGGAATATGCAAGGTGTTCAAAGTTAAACTATCGACTGACAAAGTCGGCTCTTTTGTCAAATCAATGTGCGTTGTTTGCCTATACTTTGCAATTAATGCACAGTCGTTTGGCTCGTTTTCTAATATGTATTTCTCCAATTCGTTTGGGTAGCCAAACAACTGTATCTTAAGGAACTCCTTTACCTTTCCAATAAAAGTTTGCGTCTTTTCTTCTTGTTCGAGCTCCAATTTAGTTAATTTATCAGAAAACTTTGACCCAGACGAGTACGCATGAAATCCCGATGAAGCGGTCACAGCCAACGTTTCCACTACGTCCTCCTCACTCAGCAGATTCATCTTTGGTCTTCCGTGGTGGGGATTATTATTATTTGAATAGGGGTTCAAGAATGTGGATAAAAAAGGGTCTGTTGTTATCTTTTTAGAAAATTGTCCCTGGTTGTGTGGCTGTTGCTACCAACTTTAAACAAAAAGTATACAAAATTATGAAAGTCACCTAATAATGAGAAAAGTGGTCGCACGTTGTTGAATTGAGAGAAACCACATTGTGTTTTTTTTAGCATCTCGAACACCAAGGTAGAGGGAGCTTGACTTTTTGAGACTGAGCTACGTGTAAAGGAGGCAATGCTTTTGTAGATAATTTCTAATCTACTTGTTCACAGTATAGGTCTTTTGGCACGCAGCAGAGGATTATTTGCTCTAATATACGAATAGAACTGAGCAATCTCTTTAGTTAGTATGCCATTCATGCTCTCCTCTACAGATATTGAAACTCCCTTTTAGTCTGTTTTCAATCTCAACTTCAGCAACTGTCCATACAAGTTACTCCATTTTATGAATGTGCCAATCTTTTCCGCAGAAAGATGTTCACGAAGAAACAAAAACAAAATTTCCACGCATCAAATCAATAAGGTCAAACTCTTTACTTGACATCAAACCCGAAATGACATCATCCTCGAGGCGATACTCCTTCAGCCGTGACATCGACTCATTTGAGGACTTGGATAGCTCGCTAGACAGAGCACTTAACAGTGCAACAAATACCCTACAGCTACAAAATGGGAAGCACAGTAGCCGAAACAGCTCCATTGGTGGTGGCATACCTTTGCAATCAATAGGATCCAATCATACTGATCAAGATTTCATAGAGGACCACTCCCCATTAATCTCCAGTGCGTACCCTTATAGTGGAAATCATCCATCACACCATTCATCCAGCTCCACAATAAATATAGCAGTTAGTTCAGTTTCGTCAAAATTCAGGCACTTTTTCAAAAAGTTCATCTTTCTCTTCAATGATGCCAAACGGGAACTAAATCAAGAGAGGCTAAAAGTCTCGGGTGCTTCTGACTTTAGAATCAACAATTTGAGCGAGGAACGATATATCTCAGCCAAAACCACTAATCTGCGAGCCAACAATATCTACCCTTCAAACAACATTTCCAATGCAAAGTACAACCCAATCACCTTTATACCGATTATATTATACGAACAATTCAAGTTCTTTTTCAATCTATACTTTCTAGTTGTTGCTTTGTCACAAATTGTGCCTCAGTTGAGAATCGGGTACCTATCTTCATACATTGTTCCTTTGGCGTTTGTGCTTTTCGTGACCATGTTGAAGGAAGCGAGCGATGACATCACGAGACGTCGAAGAGATAGGGAACAAAATTTTGAAATCTATGAAGTATTGAACCGGTTTCTGAACAACTTGACTTCCGAACCAAAGTATGTAGCATCGAAAGATTTGAGGGTGGGTGATGTTGTTCGGTTGCACAAAGACGTGAGAATACCTGCTGATATGGTCTTGCTACAATCAACCGAAAAAACAGGCGAGGTGTTTATCAAAACAGACCAATTGGATGGCGAGACCGATTGGAAGTTGAGAGTAGCACCAAGTGCCACCCAAAATTTGTCCACTGTTGGCTCAATTATCGACACAATTTCATTAATTATTGGAAACCCCACAAAGTCAATTCATTCGTTTACAGGGCAACTAATATACAGCCCGACAACATCGAGTGGATCCTCCTCACCGACCAATTCAGAGACCTATCCCTTGTCCGTGGATCAAACGTTATGGGCTAATGCCGTTTTGGCATCAGGAAGTGCATTGGGGTTGGTAATCTACACTGGGATCGAGACACGTCTACTGATGAATACAACGAAAAGTGGAGTTAAAGTTGGTCTTCTCGAAATTGAAATTAATAGCGTTTCCAAGATATTATGCGCAGTCGTTTTTGCATTGTCGGTAGCATTAGTTCTTGCTCATGGATTGCCTTTGCAGAAAACTTGGTACATTGATATCCTTCGATTCTTGATTTTATTCTCAACAATCATTCCAGTTTCGCTTCGTGTTAACCTCGATCTTGCAAAATCGGTGTATGCATCTCAAATTCAAAACGACCCTTCCATACGCAATACAATTGTTAGAACATCCACTATTCCAGAAGACTTGGGAAGAATTGAGTATCTTTTAAGTGATAAGACGGGAACCCTTACACGAAATGAGATGAATTTGAAAAGACTACATTTGGGTAGTGTTAGTTATGCGGGTGACACGTTTGATATTGTCACAGATTATGTGAAGAACTTGATGAGTTACCTCAATTCTCTGCAGGTCCTGCTGCGGAAAAAGGATTTGGCAGCTAGGGTATGCGATTTAGTTTTAACATTAGCGTTGTGTCATAATGTTACTCCCGTCTTTGATGATGACGTGGAGGATGCCACATTTGGAGAAATTACCTATCAAGCAGCGTCTCCTGATGAAATTGCCATTGTTGAGTTTTGTGAGGCAGTGGGGTTGAAGTTGTTTAAGCGTGACAGACACAAGATCACATTGATGCATGTGCATAGTAGCCAGTTGCTCGAATTTGAGGTGTTGCACAATTTTCCATTCAGTTCCGAAACCAAACGTATGGGTATTCTTGTGCGAAGCAAATTTAGGGATGAAGTCTGGTTTTTGCAAAAAGGAGCCGATACTGTCATGTCTAAAATCGTTGGTGCAAATGATTGGCTTGACGAGGAAACGGGAAATATGGCTCGAGAAGGATTGCGTACATTGGTGATTGGTCGAAAGAATTTGCCAATGAATGTTTATGACGATTTCGCCTCAAGCTACAAAGATGCTTCACTTTCAATGAAGGATAGAGACCAAACAATGCAAAAAGTTGTAAACTATTACTTGGAACAGGATTTGGAACTTCTCGGATTGACTGGTGTCGAGGATAAGTTACAAACAGACGTGAAACCATCAATTGAACTCTTGAGAAATGCCGGAATCAAAATCTGGATGTTGACCGGTGACAAGGTTGAGACAGCCAAGTGTGTTTCCATCAGTGCCAGGTTGATCTCACGAGGTCAGTATGTGCACCAAGTTACCAAGCTTTCCGATCCAGACTTGGCTTTGGACCAGATAGAGTACTTGAGAACCAACCCAAGTGCATGCTTACTAATTGATGGTGAGTCGTTGGGTGTTTACATGAAGTACTATTGTGACGAGTTCTTGGAGATAGCAATCAAATTGCCAGCGGTTATTGCTTGTCGTTGCTCACCACAACAGAAAGCAGATGTTGCTGTTGAAATCAGACGTGTTACAGGCAAGCGTGTCTGTTGTATTGGAGATGGTGGTAATGACGTCAGTATGATTCAATGTGCTGACGTCGGAGTAGGAATTGTTGGTAAAGAAGGTAAGCAAGCTTCTCTTGCTGCTGATTTCAGTATTGACCAATTTTGCTTCTTGACCAAGTTGCTATTATGGCACGGAAGAAACTCCTACAAGAGATCGGCCAAATTGGGCCAATTTGTTATTCATAGAGGGTTATTAATATCCGCCGCACAAGCCGTGTACTCGATATCATCCAAATTTGAGCCCGTTGCATTATACCAGGGCTGGTTAATGGTGGGATACTCAACTTTATACACCATGGCTCCGGTGTTTTCACTCACCTTAGACTGTGACGTTGATGAGCATTTGACCAAAGTCTACCCTGAGTTGTACAAGGAGTTGACACTAGGAAAATCCTTGTCCTACAAAACTTTTTTCATGTGGGTTTTCATATCACTTTATCAAGGGTGTGTGATTCAATTGTTGTCTCAACATTTTCAAACCACACTCCCGAAAAACTTCACAACCATGGTTGCGTTATCATTTTCATGCTTGGTGTATAACGAGTTGTTCATGGTGGGACTTTCCGTCAACCGATGGAACAAGATAATGGCTGCGACTATCGTTGTGACGTTCTTGGCCTACTTGGGTACAATTCCAATGTTGTCAGAGTACTTTAATTTGGAGTATATTAGCTCCTTCACTTACGTGTGGCAGACTACTGTCATTTTGAGTGTGAGTTTATTCCCAGTTTGGCTAGTACAGTATTTGAACCGGAGATTGAGACCTCCAACATATGCTAAAGTGCAACAAGATTGATCAATACACTTGTTTAACTTTATTAATAGATTGGGAGGTTTATCCTTTTTTTTTTTTTTTATAAAAGATAGCTAAACAAAGTTTTATGGAATATCGCTAATTTTCATGAACCGTAGAATAACCAAGAACTGATCCTCCTCCAAAGCAAACATGTTTCTAAATTTCAAAACATGTTTCCATCTTTTCGAATTCATCCCTTTCAATTCGCGAAACAACTTATCCCACAAATGCCGTCCACCTATTTTCATCTTGACCTCATCGGGGGATATGGAAATGCCATACTCATTGACAAAAGGACGAATACGGGCTTTTCTTTGCAAATGTAAAGCCCAAATCAAGATATGACCAAAGTACGCAAACATCGAGTAGTCCAACGTGTTTCGGTGCAAATGCTTTTCGGAAGCAGTGATTGCAGTATGCGTAGTTGCTAAATTGAGTTCGTCATAGTGGCCGAAATTTTCAAGTATATCTGGAAAATGTCCCACAGACTTCTTGAATCCTTCGGATTCGTACAATGCAACGTTGAAGCATAAAGTAAGAAATTCCCTTTTCAAATCAAAATTGTCAAATACTTCAGTCTCGTACTTTTTAACAAACTTCAAGCTGTTTGCAGCATATTTTGACATGGAAGGAGCATTCATGATTGTTTTGAGTTTCACATCAGACAAATCAGCCGTTAAAATTTGCCGATGCGAAACGCCAATGATGGTCTTGACAGGTGAAACTGCAGGAAGTTGTTCTGACTTGCTTAAAGACAGTTTGAGTGATTTTAAAGTTACACCAAATACTGAAGACACAGAATTCAGGGAGCTGGGCCTGTCATTGCTGCCCCGGCTCATTCTCGAGCTCAGGGCTGAAACTTGTTCAGTCTCTTTATCTTGTGATAGAGATTCAGGTGTTCCGGATTGAGCTGGAGTCAAGTGGTCTCCATGGCTTTGCTTAGTTTCAAGTTCCAGAGTCAAACTATTACGCTTCTCGGCAATGTTAACACTCTTGGGTAATCGGTTACCTTTGGAGACATCACCAGCCGTTTGAAGAATCTCACTTTTGGATGACTTTTCGGGGGCAATTTCAGCAAGCTGCAAAGTATCCACCAGTGCATTACTCTTTTTTGCGTCATTCTTGGACTTAATCTTCTTCTTTTTGGAAGACTTTGTCCTTTCTTTTGACTTTTTGACCCCATTTTCGTAATGTTCAACTGATTCGGGCTGTTGGATTGACTCAGGATTTTGTGGTAAGGGGATTGCTTCTAGATCCGTTTCCTTTACAAGCTCTTTCGATCTTAATGACGGGAGTTCTTTTCTATGTTTGGATTTATGCTTTGAATTTGGTCTTGGTTCAGTCTCATGTCTAGACAAGATCTCCTTGTTATCACCTCCCTTTTCCGTACCTTTATTCTCCAAGTCACTTCTGGAGGCCCTCTTAGATTTCAGTTTCTTTGTCTTTTTGGAATTCAAGTTGGATTCTTTTTTTGAGTTAGAACCTGTATTTGCTTTCCCATCCAAGGGACCACCATTAATTGATCCATATGCATTCACAACGGCATTTTCTGAATTTTGCTGACTCAACTGAACTTTTGAGGTGGGTACATTTTCAACACCAACGTCTTCAGGGAAATCTTGTTGTGCACTCTCCCCCGTGAGCTTCTTTTTCGATCTTCTACTATGCTTCTGTGACGCGCTTCCTGCAGAGCCCGTCGGTTTTGGATCTGGTTTTGACACATCTTCATCATCAGAGGAAAAGTCAAGCTCACCTATATCGCCAATGATCTCGGCTACCGAAACTTGTTTTGGTCGATGAGGACGTTTCGAATGTTTCAGCTTCTTCCGTTTTCCATCGTCATTAGCAACAACACTGATTTCAATTTCACTGATTCCAATGGATGTGGCATAGGTCTGTTGGTTGGAAACAACCGCGACTGCTTCTTCATCGTTCAACAAGTATTCTAAATCTTTTTGAAACTCTAGGTCTTTTGCTTCTGGAGTAGATTCGGTCGTGGATGGAGATAATTCTGCATTGTGTTTTGCTTCATTCGCTCTTTTGATGTCTCTGAGACTATTGTTTGGCTTTGAACCTTGCGGGCGGCGTGGTTTAGGCATCTTCTGCCTTTGATCTCGTACTGAAGTTGTGGAAAACAGTTTGGAACAAAAGAAAATAATTCCGGCGATCTACAGTGGTTGCACAATTAAAGTCGCGTCACTTGAAACATTTCTTTTACTGCAAACTACCTAAGACGCAAAGGGTATCTATCATTTTGATCTACCTATAAACCGTCTTCACTATGTCTAAGAGAGTGCATTTTTAGGCTTATATGGTTCCTCCAAGTACTTGAATTCATCCTCACTCAACTCGACAGTTGTTGCCCTAATGATATCTTCGACTCTCTTTTCGGAATTGAGACCCACAATTGGATTGCACCCTTTGCTGATAACCCATGCAGTTGCAATAACAGCCATACTCTCGTTGTGATCCTTGGCTACTTTTTCAATACGGTTGATAATTTCTTTGTCAGCATCAGTCAAATTATCAAGTCCCAAACGAGCAAAAGTCTTGTCAGACTCTTGTCTCTTGTTTTCAGAAACTTTTCCCACGGGTCTTGTTAAAACACCTCTGGCGATTGGACTCCATGGGATGATTCCAACCTTACTCAAGTCATTAGACTTGCAAAATGGAATCATTTCTCTTTCTTCTTCACGATAAATCAAATTGTAGTAATTTTGCATACTGATAAACTTGTGCCAGCCATTGTGCTCAGCTATGAATTGCAATTCAGCAAATTCAGTAGCTTTCATAGATGAGGCACCAATGTATCTAGTTAGTCCTTGATCAACAACATCATTTAATGCTCTCATAATCTCCTTTTTAGGGGTCGTTTGATCCAATCTATGAATTTGCAAAACGTCAAGATAAGTTCCCAATCTCTCGACAGAAGCATTCACCGCATCAAAGATGTGCTTCCTTGATAAGCCTCTTGAATTGGCAAAATCCTTATCAGTCAAGTTACTAGCCCTCAATGCATTGAACCCTGGCTCCCTTGGATCCACTGGCATAAAACATTTGGACAAAATGACAACTCGTTCTCTTGGAATGTCATATTTCTTGAGAAATTTACCCAACACAATCTCGGAAACACCGTTTGAGTAAACATCCGCAGTATCAAAAGTTCTCAATCCAAGATCATAACATTTCTTTAAAATCTTGAAAATTTCCTCTTCGTCTTCCAATACCCATTCAGCCCATTTTTTGGATCCATAGGACATACACCCTACAATCAATGGCGCAATCTTTAACCCTGATTCTCCCAAATTGTTATATTTAAGCTCAATTGACATGTTTGAGGTGGTGTAAACTGTATGTGTGGACTATATGACTAGGAAAACCTTGTCTGAAGTTTGTAGATTTGACTCATATTTATACCAGAAAGTTTTAATTTTGAGAGGGGCAAGAAAATTTTGATCGGACTTATCCCTTTTGCGGAAATCGGCCGATTTGTAAAAGCCACCATTAATTTAAACAATGTTGAATATCCGCACCCACATAGCCTATGCTCAAGCACAGTTGAGTGGTTAACTGGAAGCAGACTATGTTGCTACAAACGTCTATCGAGTAGGCAGTGTTTACCGAAGGGGTTCAAGAAGGTATCTTCAAAGAGAGGAAGGTGGAATACTAATTCTTTTGAGTAATACCGTTGGAGCAATTGAATGGGGACAACCCATTAAATGCCCTTTGTAGTTATAGTAAATCCTCATGGAACTCCTCAACTCCCATGGCCTTACCCTCATTCAGTTATCATTCGCCATGCTAATGTTAGTCTTGTAGATAAGACCAATCCCACCCGCTCCAACGTTTTGTGTTTCTTGCTTTTTGGCCAACGGTACACGCACATATTTCACTTTCTTTTTCTTCTCTCTCGTAGATAACGCTGCTTCATCTCCTCAATGTTCTAGTCCTGTTCGATTAAAGCATCTCTACTTGATTCTACAAACACAGCAATATAGCCTACAATAATGTCATCCAACGGTTTCAAAGAAGTTAGTGAAAACTTGAGCCATCGCAACATCCAACAAAACCCATATGGACCCAATCCTGCTGATTTTTTATCAAATGTTGGAAATTTTCAACTCATTGAAAGTACATTGAGAGAAGGTGAACAATTTGCCAATGCGTTCTTTTCAACGGAGACCAAGATTGAAATAGCCAAAGCTTTGGACGATTTTGGAGTTGACTATATCGAGTTGACCTCGCCAGTTGCTTCCGAGCAGAGTAGAAGGGACTGTGAAGCTATTTGTAAATTGGGATTGAAAGCCAAAATATTGACCCATATTAGATGCCACATGGATGATGCCAGAGTTGCCGTGGAGACTGGTGTTGATGGTGTTGATGTTGTCATTGGAACTTCGCAGTTTTTGAGACAGTATAGTCATGGTAAAGATATGAACTATATTGCTCAAAGTGCTATTGAAGTTATTGAGTTTGTTAAATCAAAGGGTATTGAAATCAGATTTTCCAGTGAAGATAGTTTTAGATCTGATTTGGTTGATTTGTTGAACATTTATCGTACTGTGGACAAGATTGGTGTCAATAGAGTTGGTATTGCTGATACTGTTGGTTGTGCCAACCCTAGACAAGTTTACGAATTGGTGCGTACTTTGAAATCAGTGGTTAATTGTGATATTGAATGCCATTTCCATAATGATACTGGATGTGCTATTGCTAATGCATACACTGCTTTGGAAGGTGGTGCCAAATTGATTGATGTTTCCGTCTTGGGAATTGGTGAACGTAATGGTATAACACCATTGGGCGGATTAATGGCAAGGATGATTGCTGCTGATCGTGATTATGTCTTGTCCAAGTACAAAGTCCACAAGATTAGAGACTTGGAGAATTTGGTTGCCGAAGCTGTGCAAGTGAATATCCCATTCAATAACCCAATCACCGGGTTCTGTGCATTCACACACAAAGCAGGTATTCATGCCAAGGCAATCTTGGCCAATCCTTCTACGTATGAAATCTTAAGTCCAAGTGATTTTGGTTTGACAAGGTATATCCATTTTGCCAACAGATTGACTGGATGGAATGCAATTAAATCCAGAGTTGACCAATTGAATTTGCATTTGACTGATGCCCAGTGTAAAGAAGTTACTGAAAAGATTAAGAAATTGGGTGATGTTAGACAATTAAACATTGATGATGTGGATTCAATTATCAAAGATTTCCATTCGGACTTGTCGACTCCGTTGGTGAAACCAACAAGCAAAGGACTACCAAAAGTTCCCCATGTATTGGAAGGGTTAGAAGAGTCGGATGAAAAAAGAACAAAGACAGAATAAACCAGTCTAAATAACTTTGATTTCGGAAACTGACCCCTCTCTCTCTCCATATATATATATATACAAATTAATATTTATATCCTCAAGTGGATAACCATTTGGAATACTCGTTTTCCCTCTCTTTTGTTGTTTTTAATTTATTATCCTGAACCCTTTTCTACTATTCTAGTGTACAAGTTGAATTTGATAACACGTCCACCACTATTATAAGCTCTACCTTCAAGTGGTACCGCCATTTGTGTTGTAGCTTTTCAAAAGAAAACACATAGACGCAACGCCAAACAAAATTGACATTGTTATACAAATTCTGAAATTTTTGTAGTACTTGCCGGAGTTTACGGTAACGCCTTCTCTTTTGTCAATGACGTAGAAAACACACGCAGTGCACAAGTTGAGAAGTGAAATCACCGTGAAAATGTATTCGATTGGAGTGTACATGGTGAATACTACTGTGGATGGTTGATCTTTAGGGATGATGTGGGTTTTATTCTTTGCTTGTAGTTGGGTTTCTGTATGATTTGTGAGCCAGAATCAAAATTTTATCCATCGGGAGTAAAATATTAACAATTTCTGACCAAATATAAGTTAGACTTTGTGAATCCTGACTGCAGTGTGTGTGTGTGTGTGTCTGCGTAATGTAGATGACGATATGAGCCACAAGGTTAGTTTACATGGGAGGGGGGAAGGGGTAAACAGTATGTGTGTGATATTCTGAAGATGTGTTTTCCCTGGAATAACAAAATAACCAACTTCAAGCTGATTAAGGACTCTGTATTTTTCAGTGCAGATGAGGCAGGTGCTTCCTTGTAATCATCCAAAAATACGACAGTATATATACAACGAACTTGTGTGGTATTGCTATTGGTATTGGGTTTTAATCAGTTTGGTCTTTCCTTAGAAGCCCAAAGAGAAAACAAAAAAAATTTCTTTTAAATCTCTATTTCTTTTGTAAGGCGTTTAATTCTCTCTCTACTTTCTATAAATAGATTATACAACTATACCATATACCCACTCTTTAAACTCAAGATCACCAATGGAAGCAGATTTCATGTATTTGGTTAAGATTCACATGTGTTCCAATCTACTGTGTGCAATGTAGCAATATACATACTACCTACTTCCCTGCAAAACAGCCTGCAGTTTTCTAACTCCGAGCATATCACACCACGTTTTGTCGCACACAAACTTACTCTAAACTCATGACGATCTTCCATAAAATCACCACACTACTTCCATGAATTATGTAGTAGTTTGTACTCTGTATAGCCCAGTAATGTAACCAAGACTTGTCAAGGGTTAGTGTAGATGGGTTTATACTAAACAATTGGGTATAATTGCGAATCCATACTATTTACCAACATTTGAATATTCATGAAATATCTTGGTGAAAGGTGATTACGCCTACCAAGCACCATATCCCGTAAAGCAGTACCATGTTCGAAGAGCTTCAGTAAAGGCAGTATCTGGTTTCAAGTAGTACTTCGATGCCGAATGTTGCCAATTTTGCTTCTTTACCGTACTGTATATAAGAGCCAGTAAATTTATTTTCATCTCATCGCCCCACCCTTGTTAAACGAAACTAATCAAAATCAGATCATCACAGGCCAAGCCAAAGCTATACACATACAATGGCGGTTGCTGCACAACAGAATAACAATAGAGAGAAAAGGCCTTCAAATAGAAGAAGGAAAAAGAGAAGAACTGAAGACTTTTCGTCCTCTTCTGAATCATCATCTTCTTCATCTTCTTCTTCAAGTGAATCAGATAACGACAATGCCGTAGAGGAGGAGGACGTAATACCCAATACAGAAGAAATCACTATGGACGATATAGAGATTGAAACAAATGGCCAGACGACGAAGCTGGCTAAAAAGGCACCCGATAATCTATCGATTGAACAGAAACAACAACTAAACACAATTCCTTTCTCTACTACATCAATATCAGAAGTAACTAATCCAAATACAGCTAATGCATTGAAAAGTATACCCAACCTTACAGAAGTATCAAATTCAATAGAGCAGTCTAAACAAGAGATCAACACCCGCTTCTTGAAGCTCATGACGACTGAGTTTGGTAATGACATTGACGAGTTGAGGAAAAAGCCTGATTTTAAGGAAGCATCATTGTCGGTGCTAGCAAAGACACTTCAATCTGGTGCCAATATGTTTGATGTTGATGTTCTAGAAGGATTGCTCGATGAAGGAGAGAAGGCAACATAAAATGTCACAGCATGTGAGAAGCAATATAGTGGAAAATTGCATGCTAAAAGATAGGTCAAGACACTTCTTACTGGGACCACAATATCTCTGGAGACGGCTTGCTATTCCATGCCGAAGCTGATTGCATTTGCTGTGTTTCTGGGGTGCTGCAATTTCTTAAAGTTTTGTTTATAAAAAGCTACGACCATATCGCTAGGATTTCAATGAACAGCCTGCCACGAGTGATTGTTTGTAGATTCATAGTAGCACCAAATTCGTATAGCAATCTTTGCCGCCGTCACCCACCTCCCTATAAAACCTCTTCTTCAAGTTATTTACAAATCGACCAACCCCTTTTTCTTCAACCTATTTCATTAATGACACAAAAAATCCGTAATACCAAAAAATACATATTAATGACGTAAAAAAGAATCACACAATATTGAAGGAGTTGTTAATAGTCAAACTGATTTATAATTAGCCTCCTATCTGTCGCCTTGTAATCAATAGTACAAAGGAACAAACCAAAGAGATAAATCACTTACACATCGATACATGAATACTTGAATCCAGTAAAGTAGTGATATACAAACATTTGTCATTTCACGCCCTGCTTCTTTCTTCTCGTTACTACGGAATCTTCAGATATCGTGTTACCGGAATAGCCGCTTAATCTTTATAACCATGCCACCGAGAGATTCAGATTCACAGCCTACCAATGGGGATGTGAATGGGACCACCAGTGGGAACCTTGAAGCGGTATTAAGGACTGAATCTTCTCCCAATCAGACTTATGGATCTACTGGTGGGGATGGACCACCCCACGTGGATATCAATATCGAAACTAGCGAGTCGCCTGAAGATGTTGACCTGAATAAACCTCAGACATATCCATCTACACCGCAGGAGCTTTCTGCAAACACTAATGAAAATAGTCTATTGTTACCAAGTAGCCGTGGTCATCTGGGTGTGAACGATGACGATGACGATGATGATAGAATGAGCAAAATCATCAAATTGGCCAAACGACCAAGTTTCATTTGGATATTCAGTCTAGGAATCTTAGCTCTCATCATTTTCCAGTTGACGTTTTTACCAAGGACTTCCTTATCGAGAGATTATAGACGTTGGCACGGTATACATTTGACTAAATCGGACGTCAAGAGGGATTTTTTACAATTTACAGGAATCGGAAATAGTCATCGCGATTTAACCACAGAGGAGTATATCGACAATTGGTTATATGACTTTACAACAATCAACAACAAGGCAAAGTTTAATCTATTATCTGATAATAACCCAGAATTAAGTCACTATGTGGAATCCAATTTCAACAAATTCGGATTCGATACAGAAAAGTACACTTATGAAGTTGACTTGCAGATTCCTCGCGCATCCTTTATTAAACTTCATGATGCCGAAGATGATGTGGCTTACCTGGCTGAAGTCGTAGAGCCAAAATACAAGACTCCTGGGTTTTTTAGCTATGGAGTTGCTGGAAATGTCACTGCTGAATTTGTATTCGTCAACCATGGTACTCCAGATGATTATGATTTGCTAATTAGCCACAAAATTGATTTGAGGGGCAAGATTTTCATCATCAAGAATCACCTCCGAGAGCAAAACACTACAGTTGGTGAAAAGTTGGCCTTGGCTGAGCATCTAGGAGCAGTAGGAGTTTTGACATATTTTGACTCGGATACATTGGGGAATGAAGCGACAAAATCGGCCAGTATCAATGTGGCAATCGCACGTGCTTGCAATAGCGAAGGAGTGAAAATTCCCGTGGTTCCGATAAGTAAGAAATTGTTACTTCCTGTGCTTGGCACGCAGCTGGAAACACCTTACAAATCATCATTTGAAAAATGGGAATATACGCCATCCCCAAATTCGAAATTCAAATTGGAACTTTGTAGTGTATTTGAGAAATCCAAGTCTGCAAAATTGACAAACATTGTCGGCACATTGAGTGGAATCATGAATGATGCTGATGTCATAATTGGAGCTAGACGCGATTCGCTAACTTCAAACAATCCATTATCTGGACATGCAGTCATGTTTGAAATTATGAGAAATTACCAGCGATTGATTGAAAAGGGATGGAAACCATTGAGAAATATCAAATTTGTGTCTTGGGATGGGTCAAACATGGATTCATTGGGTGTCAAGTTGTTCACAAACGATACTTCTGTGTTTAATCCAAAAAGATCGGTGGTTACTTATATCAACCTTGATGCTGATACAGTGACTGGAAGTAAATTTGACGTGGATGCCAATCCATTGCTCAATCATTTGTTGAAAAAGACTTCAAAGTACATCCCCATTCCAAAACACGCAGGTGTTTTAAAGACATTGGGTATAGATTCTGATATGAGTACACTCGAAGATCAATTTGGAACTGAGTTTGACGATCTGCTGTATGATGCTGGCATCAATGATGGCGATAACGACGAGGATGATGACGATGATGATGATGATGATGATGACGATGATGGAGGAGAGGAGTATACAACGTTGCATAAGTATTGGAAGAAGCAAGATAATGCAACAATCAACAACAATCTAGGTCTTCCCTTGATCAACTCCGAAGCAAGGATCTTTCAACAACACTTGTCCACTCCAATAATCAATTTGAAATTCAGCAACGACGAGAAAAGGGATAGTGCAAAATACATTGCCAACTCAAACTATTACTCTAGAGATTGGTTGATTAAAAAAGATATAGACAAGGATTTGTTATTACACGGGTCATTAATCAGGTTTGTGGGGCTTTTGGCTATCAATTTGAGTGAGCATGAGGTTGTTGATTACAAAACATACAAGTATCTCAAATTAATTCGCTCACTATACCTCCAGTTATTGGTCAAAGAACAGGCCAAATTGTTTAAGTGGAAGGATAATGTTGTGTCCAACTATCTCATTTACAGAAATTCCATTTTTCAGGATCTCGACACTGACGAGGAAGTCCACTTCTCCCAAATTGTGAATCAATTCACACTTTTGATGAATGAGATTGTACATCTGTCCAAGAGCTTTGATAAATATAATGAGCGCGTTGAACAAGGATTGAGCCAGGATTACCCATGGTACAAGTATTACAAGAAGTTGCAACACTTTGCCCAGTTTAAACTTACCAACTACAAACTCTCGCATTTGGAGAGGGATTTGCAATTGAGCAGTCAGGATTATGCGTATTTGGAGAGTAAGGATCCCGAACAGAGAACTAAGGCAACCTCAAGCTCTTTCAACAATGGTCAAAGAATTTTGTCTCCTCATGGGTTGAAAGGAATCTTGGATGGTTTAAAGGGCAACGAATTTTATTACAATTCGGTGATTTACTGTGTGCCAGAGTTCAATGCCAAGCATAACCAGACTTGGTATGACGAGAGGTTGCTAAAGGGCACACTCACGTATTTGTACGATGCGATTGATGGCGATGATTACGAGTCTACTGTGAAGTGGTTTGTTGTGATTTATGAGAAGTTGACAAATATAAACTATAAAATGACTTAGGTATAATCTATAGACACAAAAATTTGAATAAAAAGATGGTTATGGTTTAGACCAAGGAGGAGGAGGAGGAGGAGGAGGAAGAAAAACAAAACTTAATCACAGTGAGCACGTGCACTCTGCGTGTGTGTTTAGTTTTTTTGGCAACCAAATTCAAACACAAGCAAATTTGACAGCGTATAAATTTATAAGCAAGTGTCACTAAGAAAGTAAATGCATCATTGCTCCTTGCTGTTCAAATAACTGCTTTTTTTGCTTTGCTAAACAGAGATGGAGCTCATTGCTAACCAATCCAAAGGAATCCAAACCGCATGGCTTTTATCCACATTAGGATCAAAGGCATCTTCACGAGGCAAGATTATAAGAAAGGATGATTTGCTAAAGATTCTGATACCTGACCTCTGCACTGAGTTAATAGAGTACCACCACAGAGATGGGTCTGAGGTCAACATTCGATTCTCCTCTAATGTGTTGCACGGAATTTCCATCTTGTATGGTTCCAAAACTGCTCAAGTGTTGAGTGAAGTGACACAAGTTCAGTTACGTTTACAGAGTTCGTTCCTTTATATGGCAACAAGGCCCAATGATCAGTTAGTAAAACGTGGAAGAGCTAATAGTTTGAAGCGGTCAGAAGTTTTGGGAAATGACCAAGCTTTTCAAGTTGGATGGGATTTGATGCCACAACTGCAATTATCAGGATTGGGATTTGATGTTGATGATGATGATGAGCCAGAAGTGAAACGTCGCAAGTTGGAAATTGCAGAGTTTGACTTGCGGGAATTTTCGATATTTGATAGCACAACGGGAGTTGATACCGGTTGTATAACAGGGTTGGGTCATTTCGCTCTAGCTATTGATCGTCAAACAGATGCCAATTTTGAAAACGTTGAATTGTCGATGCATGTGGATAACAACAAAAACAATAACAACTCAGATGATGACCATGATCATGTCAATTTGCAATTTAACGAAGATGGTCAAATTTTAGAGACTGAGGAACTCGAACCAGGTATTGATCATATTTCTCTGGTGGACATCGAAGTGGAACATTCCCGTAGAGGGGTTGACTTGTGGCAGATTACTGAATTGCTGCAACAAGAGGATAACGATGACGTCAATGCTACACTCCATGATTTGAGTTTCCAACAAGAAGATGGACTTGAAGGGCGTGGCACTAATCTTCAACCAACAACACGGCGCTCATTTCGTGTTCCCAAACGCAAACTAGTCACTGATGAAAATATAAGCTTGACCAGAGATTTCATAATTAATCACCACGATAACTATACCACAATCATGAACTACCGAGCTTTCAACGTGCCTTTTGGGCGTGGGCGTCAACTTCAACAAGTGTACCAGCTGCTCAACTCAACTCGATTCCGACCATGGGTAAACGGGTCCTCTGTACGTAATTTCAATTCTTCTAGTATAGAAGAAACTATTAATCGAACAATGGGGATACGCCACCGAACTGAAATTATGGCACATGAGGCTTCTGAACAAGCCAGAAACTCTCAAGTGCTAATGGAAATGGAAAGATCACGAATGTTGCCAAGTGATGATGACTTGAGTCATGACTTGGATCAGGTTGACCTTCGTGGGGTTGAGAATGATGAGACAAACTTTGATGCTGCAATGTTGGACTTGGATTTTGACTTGGATGGAAGTCGTGGAGAAGGAGACGGCAAGAACGACGATGACAAGGACGACGACGATGATGAGGATGATGATGATTCGTTCCATCAATCAAGTAGTTTTAGTTTGTCGAGTGATGGTGAAAATTTGCAGCCGCATTTGATCCCACGATTAAAGAAATTGGTCAAGTATTTTGTTCAAAGACTGGTTGAGTTGGGCAAAGCTGCTGATTCTCAGGAAGAGAGTTATCATTTGACTTTCAAAGAGTTGGTTCCCGTGAGGTATAATAATGAAGCCAATACGAAAAGAATTGCGGCTGGAGCATTCTCGAGCGTTTTGTTTCTTACCAACAAGAATATTGTCCTGATTGATGTAAAGTCTGATACAAGTACAACAAATGAGTTATTTTTGTCAAAATCGAACGACATTCACTTGACTTTGTATAGGACCATCAAGTGAGGAAGGTATCAAAAGAGGAAGATGTGGACTACGTGATAGTTCAGTGTAGGTAATAATTCCACCAAATTCTCGCTTCAATTGTCGCAATTGCATGATATCTCCATCTATCTTTTCAAATTCTACTTAGAAATGGGCTGCTGGGTTGTTCAAACGAGCACCTCCATCGACTGGCAAATCAACACCGTTGATATAGTTTGCTTGCTTTGAGCACAAGAACAAAACAACTGCCTTCAAGTCTTCGGCCTCTCCCAATCTGCCTCTTGGATTGGTCTCTGTCAAGTCCTTACCTGCAACTTCAATCAATCCATTAGCCATCTTGGTTGGGAAGAATCCAGGCAAGATGGAGTTGACGTTGATGTGTCTTGGAGCAAATTGAACAGCCAAGTTTCTTCCCAAGTGAGAAACAGCCGCTTTGGATCCGAGATAACCATAAGTTCCAACAATATCGTTGTTTATAATACTAATTATGGAAGACATGATGATGATTCTAGAAGGATCTTCCACAGTTGCTGCCTTTTCCAACAAGGGAGTAAACAATTGAATAGTGTGATAGACGGCAACGAAGTTCAAATTGATGACTTTCTTGATTGCAGAGACACTATGCTCCTCTAAACCGGCTCCCCAAGTAGCACCAGCATTGGCAATGAAAATATCAATCTTGTCGACTCTCTTTGCCACTTCTTTGTGGAAATTGACCGCTTGCTCTTCGACTGCCAAATCAGCTGGGATTGCAATAACTTCAGCCGACTTGCCATTCCTTTTGGCTAAATCCTCCAAGTGCTTCTTTGCTTCCTCACAAGCTTTAGCTTTACGTGAGGTGATGACAATGGTTTTGATTCCATTTTCAACTAATGCCTCGGCACAGTAGAGCCCTAATCCACGAGTTCCACCGGTGACAACGGCTATTTTATTTTCAACGTTCAATTGCATAATAAGATTGGATTATTGAAGTCTTGAGGAGAAAAGAAGAAAGAAGAGGAGAGTTTTGAACTTATTCTCTGGATATTCCGGTATTGATATAGTTTTTTTTTCGGGGTTGACAAAATGCGGAGGCACGGACTAAACCCCACTTCTGGAATAAAAAAAAAAAACAAAAACAAGGGTGTCGACAACAAAAAATATCCGCAAAGCTCCTTGCAATTCAGAGGAATCCATTTATAATATTGGAAATTTAATGAGTGTGGGGTAATGATTATAGCTATGGAAAAGGGAGCCAGGGAACGAGCCTTGGAACTCGACGTCGTGATTACTGGTACGTTTGGCTCAGTGTTAAGTCCGATTGTTGACACAAAAACAAGAGTCAATGATCTACAGCGGATAAAGAATTCAAGCATCTAGTTACCGAATGTCTATATCTCTGCGAATATAAGCGATATGAAAATCACGGGTTGCTTCTAGGGCCTTGTAGTGTGCTGAAGAGTCATCTTCGTCAATCACAGAACCCACTTTGACTAATAGTCTCTCCCCTGCGTCCTCAAAGCGACACTTTGACGTGTAATATCCAAGTATCCCGTGCTCTACAATGCAATCAGCGTGTATCGATAGACGTTCATATTTGCTAATATCACCAGTGTTTGACAAGATATTGAAATACTTTGGATCTAGTAGAAGGTGGTTCAAGACAAATTCAAGAAAGTTTGAGGCGGCATTCTTCATGAATGAGGTGTAAGCTGTCAAGATAAAAGGCTTTATATTTGGAGATGATTGTTTGTCGTAGGATCGCAAAGCGAGAGTTGCGAGGACCCTGTCCACTGTTTGGTCACTCAAGACGTAGTTAGCATCAGCAACAGTCAAAGTGGACTCGCTCAACTTTTCGAGATCAAAATAAGAAACAAATTCTGTCGGTATATCGCAATCAAAAGCACTCTCCACAGAATTGTCATCGAAGCTTCTCACCAAGCCTTGATCCTTGAGCAAGGCAAACTCTTTTTCTCCTCCAAGTAACAAAAATACACCTAACTCATCATCGGGTGTTAGTATCAAGTTCTCTAGCAAAGAGTCAACGCTCGGAATTCTCTGCGTTTGGAGGATATTGTACTTCAATCGTGGCTTGTCATATCCCTTGTTGAGGATTTTTGCTAGATTGGCAAAAGAGTGCCTGGCACCATGAAACCACAGCTTAGGTAAAAACAAGATCTCGAACAGCATTTGCTGAAATGTAAAAGAAATTTGTTTTTGGCTGAGGAGATTTGTGGCGCTTAAAACGATGGAAGAAGAATAAAAAAAAAAGAAGAAATTGTTACATTGCGAGGCTTATCTGCGATAATTAGTCACCATTCTATTCAGTTTCGAACTGATAAACTAAAAGCGCACAAATATGGTAGTATCGGTAGCATATCTAAGTCTGTGACTTCTTAGAGGAAAACCGATGAATCTTGGTATAGAAATGTTGCACTCTTCAAAGAAAGCACCTCAATAATGGAGATTTTGCTGGAGAAGGAAAGTTCATATCCTGAGTATGCGAGTATCATAGTAGTCTAGAATGTAACGTAGAGAATAGGAGCATTAATGTGTCTATATTAAGAAAACCCTGGCATTCGGTTTTTAAAAATGCACCGTTTCAAATCAATTTTTTGGGTGCAAAATCAAGCAAAAGTTGTTATAAATCTAGAAGTGAGTACAGTTTGATTACAACATTCGTGCATTTCTGGTATGCTCCCCTAAGCTTATCAGACAATGGTCTATCCCCATCCCTGTGCCTGATTATTCTCTCACGTTGCCTTGTCTGTTGTGACAAACTCTCACCTCGCCCAGTCTTATACGACGGTCGTATATCGTCCAAATGTTGTAAAAACTGAATTCCTAAACGAAGCAATCAAATGCCACAAACTGATTTTTTTTCTCCAACCAACCCTTTCTAGAACTATCATTGGCTGGACCCTCATACACGTCATGAAGAATCACACTTTTCTTTCTGTGGTAATGTGAAATAATAATAAAAAAAACAAGACGTGTAAACAAGACGTGTAAACAAGACGTGTAAACAAGACGTGTAAACAAGACGTGTTTGGGTATTGAATTACCCAATTTTGATCAAGTATAAATAAAGACCAACCTTTCCCCTCTCTAAAATGTGTTTATGTTACTTTTGTTATCTTTGCTCTTGTTAGTGTACAGTGCACAATTTGGTGGACTTTGCTTTTCCGATGGTCGCACAATGAAGAACTAAGTGTGCTATGCAACACTGAGTGAGGAGGTTAGGGTGTTGAGACCGAAGTAACAGAGACAGTTGCAACTAAAGATAAAGAGTGGTGTGAATATAGGGTGGAGATTTTTCTGGCCAGAAACTATGCAGATGCATAAACACTATACACATTTTAAAGTTAGCTACGAGAGTAGCTACAATTAACTCTCAACGAGCTCCTGCTACCAACAAAACTATTCTGCAATCGTGATGAAGACAATCAAGGGAAGAACAACTTAAAACATTCTACTAATTCTTGTCGTATAGAGAACTAAGAGAATCAAATGTGTAATAAATTAATAATAAATTGCTATAAATTTCTGTGGCGTTGTTCAAAATCATCCGATTCCAAAAAGAAAAAAAACAACCAAAAACCAAAACAATACACAAAGCAGATCCAAGGATGCGGTTTTCCCATTCAGATTCCCTTTGTTGCCCTCCTTTTTTTCTTTACTAAGTTCTATGTAATTTTGGTTGAGAGACACAGCTGCTGTGGTTGAGACAATTTGAATTTGGGCTCACCTGTCGTTTGAGTCAAACAGGAGTGAAGAGTGATTTGTAAGAAAAAGAATTATAGAGAGAGCTTATATTATTTATAATCAATTTGTGTCACAAACAGAGCCCATATCAATAAAAACACACGAGTATATAACCACCATATATTCCCACTCTTTCTTTTCTTCAAGTGTCGTCGTTTCTAAGTTTACGTGTCTCCCACCTGCTCAACATTAAACAAGCCTTGCCTCATTAAACAATACCACTTAGCTAGTCAATCGAGATAATGTACGCTTACCAAATGAAACCAGCATCGAAAACATCCGCCGTTCTTCTAATTGGCTATTTAAGCATATCTACTACGTTGCCATTTATCTTGTCATATAAAGAGTCGACAATGAATCTAAATCACGATAGCAAGGGGACAGCTTCGCTCAGGTCGCTTTTTACAAAAATATAAACGATTGCCTCAGGAAGGTGAAAGAGGGGGTTTTTTTATTTTTACTTTAAACTTTAATGCATTGATTAATAACTGAAAATGAAAGTGATTGATGTAGATGTGATAAGGCGAGCGGGAATATCCCTAAATCGTCTCATAGTAGGAGATATCGAGAGTTGCTGAGGCAGGGGGGGGGGGTGTTTCCCTGTAAATTTTTCCCGATCCGAGTTTTGAAACTGTGGCTTGAACTGCACGAATAAGCCGCACCTAGAGTTCTTCCCAGGTACACTAGGGAACGACTCGATTACAAAATTGCCAATAACAAGGTGATTTCAAATGTTTTTTTTTTTTAACAAAACTATATCTATTTACATAACTACTTCTTGGCTTTTCTCCAGTGAGCGTCTTTGAAAATTGTTTTGAGGGTGTTTAATGAATGAATTGTATCAAACATTTGTTGCTTCTGATCTAAGTGCAACGTAGGATTGATGGAAAGATCATGGCTTACTTGCAAAGATGTAGCATTTGTATTGCCTTTCAAATCAAGCGACTCAACTTGACCTAAAACAACACTGCTAATTCTTCCCCTCAATACCTCTTGATTTGGCTCCAAGTTCCAATTCTTTTGTAAAATGAATTTGTTTTGGGATGAAGATGGTGCGTTTTCAATGATCTGTTTTGGCAAATTGTAAGGATATTTCGAGTCCAATAAGCATAGCTTGGCAACGGAGGCAACCCTTGAGCTAATTGAAGAAACTATACTTGGTACTTTCCCGTAGAAAAACTGTTCTGGTTTCAAAGTAGGAGTCAAAGGTTCGGCAACTAATTCTTTCGATTCAATTGGAGCGGCAATGGCCGGCTTATCACTTCCCGCAGCTGGCCCACCTGTTCTTCTTTGTCCAGCGGCTCTCCTCTTGAATGGTCTGGATGCAGGTTTGTTATCGCTGTTTCTAGTAGCTTCGCCACGACCTTGCCATGGTTTTCCTCTTGATTCGTCTCTTTGAAATCCTGACCCAAGTGGCTCAAATAGTTTTGGAGAGCGAGATGTTTCTGGAACTTCTCTAAATGTGGTGCTGTTTGAGTTGAAGGATGCACCACGTTGGTTTTGCCTATAAAGTCCATTAGTCGTTTCTTGGCTGTACGCTTGATTGAATGGCTGTTGCTGTTGGGTCGACTGAGATTCTCCTTTAAATACACGGAATCTCTTTCCTTGTGCGGTACCGGATTCGCCTCGAAGAACGTTTGCTGCTCTATTTTCGTCACCTTGGAAGCGAAACGGACGACTTGGGGAGTCTTGCTTTTGGGCACGAAAAGGACGTTGTTGTCTCTGTTGATTGCTCGGTCCTTGTTGTTGTTGTTTTTGTTGTTGAGATCCTTGAAACCGAGATTTGTAGCGAGGTTGATTACCGGACTTAGCCTTTGCGCCTTGAGATGGTTTGTTCAAATGCCTTTGCTTATTCAATTCAGCTGCTTTGGTGGTAACTTGATCAATCCTTTTGAAAATATCATTCAAATTGAATTCTGGAACGGCTTTACTACTTGCATCACCATTTTTTGTAGAGTTGAATCTCACGGCATTCCTAGCTGATCCACTTAGCAAGCTTCTTTTTGAAGCTGAAGCCCACATTAGTATTGATGTGATAAAGAGCTATTGACTTCTACAAATTGGAAAATTTTTTGTTTTTCGGATTTTTTTTTTTCTATCTCAAGAAGGAGTGTCGCGACAATCACAGTACATATAAGGCGGAATCAATTCCACCTTAAGGGAACAGGGTACTGAAGAAGAATTGGGTTGTTGTGTGCATACATTGATCGGAGTTGAGCTTGGAAGAGCTGGTTCTAATTAGTGCAAACTAAAATAGAACCTAATGCGACCTCTATAAACTGGACTATGAAGGGATAGGACTCAATCTGTTGTAATCTTAGATATAGTACTGTTCATTCTGAGTGCAACCACAAGCTCTAAATAGCTTGGAAACAAGACTTGTTTCGTCTAGTTTCACTTCTCTGCCCTACTTTGATTCGTTTGAATATATCATGTATTGAGGTTGCAAAAGTTGGGGACACAATATTTTGGTGCAAATGTACACTACCCAATACTAATTTATTATTGGTGGTTGAAGATAACTGAATTCCACACGCCCCGTTGAAAGACAAAAATTTATTGGCTCTCTTTCTCTCTCTCTCTTACAACAACAACAACAACTACCAATTTTTTTTTTTTCAATTTTTTTTTTCTCTCTCTCTTTCTCTTTCCAACCAACGAAAGAAGAGAGGTATTTTTTTTTTTTTCAAAGAGGACTTTTTATCCAACTTTCTTTCTTCAATTTGAACAACTGAAGTTTATTATATCATCACACATATAGAAATGTTGTCAGCACGCCCTGTTTTACGTAACGCAGTCCGTTCTGCTGCTGTTGCTGCCAGATCATCAGCCAGAGTTGTATGTATATCTACAGTCAATGGATGGGAGAAACTGCGTTGGAATAGATTATTGTTCATTTCCTAGACAGTTCTATTGTGAATTCATCATCAATTGAGAATAACAGTTGGGTACAATGTCACAATCAAGACATTGGCCTATTTTAAACATATACAAGTAAGAGGAGATGGTGCCTGTTTCTCCCCCCCCCAACCAGTTATCAACACAACATCAGTACTAACTCTTCTAGGCTCGTCCAACTTTGTTGACTGCTCAAAGATTTGCTTCAGCCAAGGCTGCCCCAACTGAAGTCTCTGCCATCTTGGAAGAGAGAATCAAGGGTGTTTCTGATGAAGCCAACTTGAACGAAACTGGTAAAGTTTTGTCAGTCGGGTATGTATTTTAGAACCGAAGAACGTGCATGCATTGTGGTGGCACTATTGCCATTGGCTTCGTCTTTGTCATCGTCATCACCGTTACCAGCACTTTTATCGTTGTCGATGAATTTTTTTGACAAACCTCGTTGTCCAATCAGAATTTTTTCCTCACCACGCGCACGCTAGCAAAGCACACACACACAAACACACACACTTTTTTTTTCAGGACGTTGTAATAATACTAACAATATTTTCTAGTGATGGTATCGCTCGTATTTACGGTTTAAACAACATTCAAGCCGAAGAATTGGTTGAATTCGCCTCCGGTGCCAAAGGTATGGCTTTGAACTTGGAAGCTGACCAAGTCGGTGTAGTCTTGTTCGATTCAGACAGATTGGTCAAGGAAGGTGAAACCGTCAAGAGATCAGGTGAAATTGTTTCCGTTCCAGTTGGTCCAGAATTGTTGGGAAGAGTTGTTGATGGTTTGGGTAACCCAATTGATGGTAAGGGACCAATCAATGCTTCAGGTCACTCCAGAGCTCAAGTCAAGGCCCCAGGTATCTTGCCAAGAACCTCTGTCCACGAACCAATGCAAACTGGTTTAAAGGCTGTTGATGCCTTGGTCCCAATCGGAAGAGGACAGAGAGAATTGATCATTGGTGATCGTCAAACTGGTAAGACCGCTGTCGCTTTGGACGCTATGTTGAACCAAAAGAGATGGAACAATGGTTCAGATGAAAAGAAGAAGTTGTACTGTGTTTACGTTGCTGTTGGTCAAAAGAGATCAACTGTTGCTCAATTGGTCCAAACTTTGGAACAAAACGATGCTCTTAAATACTCTGTCATTGTTGCTGCCACTGCCTCAGAAGCTGCTCCATTGCAATATATTGCTCCTTTCACTGCCACCGCCATTGGTGAATGGTTCAGAGACAATGGTAAACACGCCTTGATCTGTTTCGATGACTTGTCCAAACAAGCTGTTGCTTACCGTCAATTGTCATTGTTGTTGAGAAGACCACCAGGAAGAGAAGCTTACCCAGGTGACGTTTTCTACTTGCACTCTAGATTGTTGGAAAGAGCTGCTAAGATGTCTGAAGCCAACGGTGGTGGTTCATTGACTGCTTTGCCAATCATTGAAACCCAAGGTGGTGATGTCTCTGCTTATATCCCAACCAATGTTATTTCCATCACTGATGGTCAAATTTTCTTGGAAGCTGAATTGTTCTACAAGGGTATCAGACCAGCTATTAACGTCGGTTTGTCAGTCTCTCGTGTCGGTTCTGCTGCTCAAGTCAAGGCTATGAAGCAAGTTGCTGGTTCATTGAAATTGTTCTTGGCTCAATACAGAGAAGTTGCTGCTTTCGCTCAATTCGGTTCCGATTTGGATGCTTCAACCAAGCAAACTTTGGCTAGAGGTGAAAGATTGACCCAAATCTTGAAACAAAAACAATACCACCCATTGGCTGCTGAAGAACAAGTTCCAGTTATTTTCGCTGGTGTCAACGGTTACTTGGATGACTTGCCAGTTAACAAGGTTGGTGAATTTGAAGAAGCTTTTGTTTCTCACCTTAAATCCGACTACTCTGAATTGTTGAAGGCTATCCAAGAAAAGGGTGAATTGAGCAAGGACCAATTGGACCAATTGCACAAGATCACCAAGGAGTTCGTTGCCAACTTTAACTAGATTGGAGAAAAGGGAGTATAGTCCATATATATATTCGCAAACAAAAAATAAACATTTTGTAAGTTAGGTTAAGACATGTAGGAAGACAAATTGAAATCCCGCATTTTCATTTCGAACTGATTTCCACCAACCACAAATATTTGCAACACCAAAACATGCCACACGTTTCAATTGTAACAGGAGCGTCAAGGGGTACGTAAAGTAAAACTTCCACTTTGATTCAAACATGACTAACTATTTCTCTCTAGGAATTGGGAAAGCAATCGTTGATATACTCTTGCAAACATCGGAAGCCAAAGTTGTTGCCATTGCAAGATCACAAGACATTCTTCAAGAATTGCAAAACAAATACGGCCGCGACAGCTTTGAATTTGTATCAGGTGACGTGACAGATGCCAACACTCTCCAAAAGGCAATTGACGTTGCACTCACTCAATTTGGACAAATTGATTCTGTTATCGCCAATGCTGGTGTTTTGGACCCAGTAGGAGCAATCAACACCACATCAATCGATGACTGGAAAAAGTTATACGATGTCAACTTATTCTCAATTGTCCAATTGATACAACTCAGCTTGCCCGAATTGAAACGTACACATGGTAAGGTTGTTGCTGTCAGTTCTGGAGCTGCTACGAAACCGTATAGTGGATGGTACGCATACGGAAGCTCGAAAGCTGCTTTGAACCACATCATTGCGTCCTTGGCGGCAGAGGAACCTTCCATACAAGCGATTTCCATAGCTCCGGGAGTAGTTGACACTGAAATGCAGCAGGATATTAGAGAGAAGTTTGGTGCCAACATGAGCAAAGAAGAGTTGCAACGATTTATCGATTTGCACGAGAATAAGCAATTGGTCCCCCCAGAGGAACCCGGTACGGTTTATGCCAACTTGGCATTGAAAGGATGGTCAGACGATTTGAATGGACAATTTCTTCGTTACAATGATCCAAAACTTGAGTCCTACAAGTAGAGTAGTAATAAATGCTAAAAGTTACTTAATCATGTAGAAAGCGGAATATACATTAGTGATAATTTAGCTACGGCATTGAGCGAGCTGACGAAGAACATGTCGCCATGCACAATTGGAAAGTTCGGATAACTACGCTTGAGCTTTAGTGATTGTCTATGAAAATCTCTCTCTCTCTCTCTCTCTCTCGAGGCACAATCTTTGGCTCGGCATTGGCATTTGATTGCTAAACTGCCTGCACACCCCAAAACGGCTCTCTACTTGTTTCATTCTCCACTAAAATGTTTTATGTTTGCAACGTCTGTGATTGTCAAATAATCAGACGTACAATAACGAGACTGAGAAAAAAAAAAAATTGAGAGTTTAATTTGCTTGTCAATCGATATCACCCATTCACTCAACATGCTCCCCAGACAGGTATTTACCAGAGCTGTTGCTCGCGACTTGAATCCGAGTTTAGTACTCAGGAGGCTCAAATCAACTAGGGCTACACCACCACCACCACCTCCACCTCCTCGCCCCACGCTCAAGGGAAACACTTTGCTCATTTTGGGAGCATTGGTTGTCGGTACGACCATTGCTGCTACATTGTACAACAAAGATGGCCCCAAATCGGCATTCGAGCCAAGTGGAGCAACCCCACAAGCAAAATCACCCGAATTCCCACCAGGAAAGATCAACGTTGTGTTTGTTCTTGGTGGACCTGGCGCTGGAAAGGGAACCCAATGTGACATATTGGTCAAGGAAAGAGGATTCACTCATTTGTCGGCTGGTGACTTGTTAAGAGCCGAACAGGTAAGGGAAGGGTCCAAGTATGGGGAATTGATTGCCAAGTGCATCAAAGAAGGAACCATTGTGCCACAGGAGGTTACTATTGAGTTGTTGAATAACGCAATCAAGGAGAAATACCAACAGGGACAAACCAAATTTTTGGTCGATGGGTTCCCAAGAAAAATGGACCAAGCTTTGACTTTTGAAGAGACAATTGCCAAATCAACTTTGACTATTTTCTTTGAGTGTCCTGAACAAGTCATGTTGCAAAGATTATTGGAGAGAGGAAAGACCAGCGGGAGGGCAGATGACAACATTGAGAGTATAAGAAAGAGATTCAGAACATTTGTTGATACATCAATGCCTGTGGTGGACTACTTTGATGAGCAAGGCAAGGTGGTCAAAGTCAGATGTGATCATCCAATTCCAGTGGTTGCCAAACAAGTGTTAGAGGCGTTGAAGGATAAGGGCATTCAATTTTAGAAAGATTTAGATACTAGAATATAAAGGACTGCATGGTAGACATGATTGTAGAAGATTGTTCGAGTGTACTTTCTTTGCACCTCTTTATTCAAAACAGCGCACGTGATGCTTCGAACTTTCATCACGTTAAGAGAAAGAAAAAGGAGCAGAAAAAGAAATCAAGACTACGATAGAATTTGTCAGATGCAACTCACGCCTTTCAACATTAAGCAAACCTTGTCCATAAATTAGCTGATTGCCGAACCTATACAAGTATAAAGGAGAGGTGTAATATAAACGACTGGTTCGCTATCAAAGAATTCCTGCTACGGTCACAAGTAAAAACATATTGAAGCGTAACAATGCCAATAAACACGGGTCTCCCTCCTAATTGGACAATCAAAGTCTCAAAAACCCACGACAAAGAGTACTTCTTCAACCAAGCGACCAAAGAGTCGTCGTGGGATGCTCCATACGGGACCGACACCGATGAGCTAAATGAGTACTTGAGGAAATTCAAAGAGAATGGGAAAAGGCCAGTCATTAACAAAGATGGTCAGATTAGAGTCAGCCACATTTTGACAAAGCATAAACAATCTCGAAACCCAAAATCATGGAGGAACCCAGATATTAGTATTACGAGGGAGGAGGCTATAAATATCACTAGAGACAACCTTTCTAAGGTGTTGAAGGGAGAAACATCATTCAATGAACTAGCTGAATCCGTGAGTGACTGCAGCTCCCATAGTAGGTCGGGGGATTTGGGCTTCTTTGGAAAGAAGCAAATGCAACCTCCTTTTGAAAATGCTGCTTTCAATTTACATGTGGGCGAGATAAGTGATTTGGTGGAGACGGATAGTGGAATTCATATCATACAGAGAACTGGATGAACAGTGTTGGAGGGAATAAGTTATCTGCGGTGTATAGTGTATGATTATATAGTGAGCACTTTAGTAACTTACTATCACGAATAGTCAAATAACCGTTAGCACTCTATTCCATAAATGCATGCAGTATGGGAACAAATATCTCCTACATTTTACTTTACCGAGTTCTTATGAGCATAGTACTCCGTATGTTTCTATATACAGCTTCGTAGTTATGCTCTTGTATTGCACTACCCTCACTAAAGCAGAATGTCTTCTGTATTGTTGTCGCTTGGGGCCACGGCACCAAAAAAATTACATCACAAAAACAGTGGGTTAGGCGTTTTGAATAAAGAGAATAGGCTTTGTGCTATTCTATTTATTGCAATTGGAGTGGCACCGACCGCCAATTGCCGAATTAGGACAGATGAATTGTACTCTTCTCAAGCAAAAGGAAGCAGTAGCCATCATAAAAACAACGACATAGTCTCAAACAATGCAAAAGACACTCCTACAAATACCGAGTCGATTTGCCCTTCGAAATTGGTTTATAAAAATTTCAAGACAAAATATTTTTCAATCTCCGCGAATAAATCATCAATTTCCCTTGAGAACACGTTGCCGTCCATTGCAATTGCCTACTTTATACAGATCAATGTGCTCCCATAGTCAATCTAACTCTCAGGGCAGAGAAGTGTTGCCCACAAATGTTACTCCATTGCATTATGACTTAACATTGGAGCCAAACTTTGACACCTTCAAATTCAATGGTCAAGAAACCATTGATTTCCAAGTCAATGAAAATACCGATTTTATTACATTGAACTCGTTGGAGATTGAGGTTCAAGAGGCCAAGCTCGATGAAGTTCCTATCAAGGACATCTCGTATGACACCGACAAACAAACTGTCACTTTCAAGTTGCCAGACCACTTGGTCAAGGACTCACAAGCTCAATTACATTTGAAGTTTGTTGGTGAGTTAAATGACAAAATGGCTGGTTTCTACAGATCAACTTACAAAGAAGATGGTAAAACAAAGTATTTGGCGACAACTCAAATGGAACCAACAGATTGCCGTAGAGCATTTCCATCGTATGACGAACCATCAGCTAAGGCTAAATTCACCATTTCATTGATTGCCGACGAAGGCTTGGTTTGTTTGTCAAATATGGATGAGAAAGAGACCAATTTGATTGGCGAACACAAGAAAAAGGTAACTTTCAACACCACTCCATTGATGTCTACCTACCTCGTTGCTTTTATCGTTGGTGATTTGAAATTTGTGGAAAACAACAACTACCGTGTGCCAATCAAAGTTTATGCTACCCCTGGATCAGAACATTTGGGTCAATATTCTGCAGACATTGCTGCCAAAACGTTGGCTTTCTTTGATAAAAAGTTTGACATTCCATACCCATTGCCAAAGTGTGATATGGTTGCTATCCACGATTTCTCAGCCGGTGCTATGGAAAATTTTGGTTTAATCACCTACAGAACCGTCGATTTGTTGATTGACCCTGAAGACACCAATGTCAACACCAAACAAAGAGTGACGGAGGTTGTCATGCACGAATTGGCCCATCAATGGTTTGGTAATTTGGTTACTATGGACTTTTGGGATGGTTTGTGGTTGAATGAAGGATTCGCCACTTGGATGTCTTGGTACGCTTGTGATTCCTTGTATCCGGATTGGAAAGTTTGGGAATCTTATGTATCTGACTCTTTACAACATGCTTTGACATTGGATGCTTTAAGAGCCTCCCACCCTATTGAGGTTCCAGTTAAGAGAGCTGACGAGATTAACCAGATTTTTGATGCAATCTCATACTCAAAGGGTTCATCTTTGTTGAAGATGATTTCAAGATGGTTGGGTGAAGATGTATTCATCAAGGGTGTGTCGAATTACTTGAAAAAACACAAGTGGGGCAATACACAAACCTTGGATTTATGGAAAGCTTTGAGTGAAGCTTCCGGTAAGGATGTGGTCAAGGTTATGGATATTTGGACTAAAAACATTGGTTTCCCAATCGTCAAAGTAGAAGAAGAAGGTAACACCATCAAGGTATCGCAAAACCGTTTCCTTGCCACTGGTGACGTCAAGCCTGAGGAAGACAAAGTGTTGTACCCTGTATTTTTGGGTTTGAAAACCAGTAAAGGTCTTGACGAGTCGTTGGTTTTGAATGATAGGTCCTCTACATTTGAATTGCCAACTGCTGACGACTTTTTCAAAATTAATGGCGACCAGGCTGGTATCTATCGTACCGCTTACGAACCATCCAGATGGAACAAGTTGGGTAAGGCTGGTGTTGAAGGAAAACTTTCGGTTGAAGATCGTGTTGGTTTAGTGGCTGATGCCGGTTCCTTGGCTTCCTCTGGGTTCATCAAAACCTCAAGCTTGTTGGACTTGGTCAAGTCGTGGTCAAATGAATCCAACTATGTTGTTTGGGACGAAATCTTGACTAGAATTGGATCCATTAAGGCAGCATTGTTATTTGAGGATGAATCCACCAAGAGTGCGTTGAAGAAATTTACAAAAGACTTGATTGGTAAAAAATTGAATGAAATTGGATGGGAGTTTACGGATTCTGACTCATTTGCCGACCAGCAATTGAAGAGCTCATTATATGCTTCTGCTGCAAACGCAGATGATCCGAAAGCGGTTGAATTTGCCAAAGATGCATTTAAAAAGTTTGTTGGTGGTGATAAAAAGGCCATTCATCCAAACTTGAGAGCCACCATTTTCAACATCAATGCCAAAAACGGTGACGAAAAGACTTTTGAAGAGATTTTCAACATTTACAAAAACCCACAATCAATTGAGGAAAAAATTGCTGCCTTGCGTGCTTTGGGTAGATTTGAAAAGCCAGAAATTTTGGACAAAGTTACTGGCTTGTTGTTGCAAACTGACGTCATTAAGCAACAAGACATTTACATCCCAATGCAAGGCATGAGAGCTCATGCTGGTGGTGTTGTCAAATTATGGGAGTGGTTGAAAGAAAACTGGGATAAAGTTTACGAATTATTGCCTCCCGGGTTGTCCATGTTGGGATCAGTTGTGACTTTGGGTACTTCGGGATTCACAAAGGATGAACAAAAGAAGGATGTCGAAAAATTCTTTAGCGCAAAGGATACCAAGGGGTACAACCAGGGATTGGCTCAATCTTTGGATATCATTACCGCCAAGGGTAAATGGGCTGATCGTGACTCCAAGTTGATTTTAGAGTGGCTTTCTTCAAACGGGTACAATTGATAGCTCTATGTAGGTACTAAATCAAACAATAGCTGCAAACCAGGCACAAGTGGATTGGCCATTACCAAACTCACATCTCTGCCTTCGGAAATTAAATGTATTCCCTTTCCTGTAACCACTTGTACTAGATCGTTTGAGCCTTTGACAAAATCGGATATGGACAACACCTCCAAAATGTCCTCTCTAACCAAAAGTAAATGATTGTCAACAAAGTCGACAGATTGTGCTTTGAAATCAAAAATCAAAGCCGTTTCTCTGGACAAAGAGCCACTTTTGTTGATGAATATAGCAAATTCGGAATAAACAAGTAAAAACTCGGTATTGTTGTTTAGCTTGAACATCCCCATAGGAATTGAATTAGATGATGTGACGAGTTTCTTGATTGTTTCAAGCGTAGTACCTGGCTGCTTTCGTGAATAGTGGTCCAATTTCTTGTGCTCGATTTCAAACGGCAAATCAGGAACTGATCGAGGCATTAACTTGTCCAACTCCATAATCTCAAACCCTTTATCGGTATGTAAAGCAAATGATGAATTGAATATGGAAATTCCAAAACACTCAGCTTCAATGTAGAATTTCCGGTCATCCTTGAATCGACTAAAGACGCCATTGTTGTCGGTCTCTGGGATGAGAACTTTGAAAGAAGTTACATTGAGCTTCTTTTTGGCAAAAAATAACATGGGAATATTCTTGTGCATCTTCATGGAGAAGAATAAAACAGGGTCCTTGGAGAGGGAAGTACCCACAATCTCCTTTCGAGTCCCAGTGTAGACATCCAATACTTGGCGAAGAAAATAGTAGCGTAGAGCTTTGTCACTCAAGGTGACCACCAAGCCTATATTTGTGTCGACGTGTATTTTGCTAAAGTCGCCACCACTAAGCACTTTTTTCCAACGGCTTTTTGATTCACAACAATACATTCCAGAATGCAACCCAACAAAGGTAAATTTTAAATCCATATACTCGAATTTGGCGCAGCATTGAACTGAACTTTGCACGACTCTATTTCTAGGAGCTTGTGTGCTGTATATGTCGGATAATCCCAATTTTTGCGTTTTAGCTACTGCGTCTAGACATAAGTCATGAATGGTGTCGTTTGACACCACAACTGGTAATTTTGTGATCCGATTGTTGTATTCATATGCAAAGCAAGATGATGACAATGCTTGTGCTCGATATATTTTGGTGTTGAATAGCCGCTTGTTCATATTCACACGTGCCGTTGTTAGATAATCAATCCAATCATTCTTTTCCCGCTCCGTCTTACAAAGGAATAGGTAGGTATGTCTGGGTCTACCGGCATAGCGTAGTTTGACACCATATTTTGAATCCTCATCCTCTTGGTGGGGTGTCTTTGTAATTGGGGACGAAGAAAGCTTGATTGTTGATGGTGGAATAACACGATCCTCAAAGGACAAAAAATCAATTGGTATTGGATCTTCACAGATTTTGTACTGGGCTCCATTTGGCTTGGGGGTCTTCAATCTCTCAGTTATGAGAATAATATTGTCCAAGAGAATGACGTGCATCACCTGGGAGGTGATTTTCAAGTCACTTCTTCGCGTGAGATCACCTCGGCAGATGAGCTTCCTATTAATTGACCCGAGGTTGAGGTTTCTTTGACGAAGATTGGATTTCCAATACAATTGCGATTTCAATTGCTCAAGAGCGTGTACATTGTCAGCAAGTTTCTTTGAATCGTTGATTTTCGATCCCAATTTCTTAATCTCATCACTGGCTTGCTTCAACAAGAAATATTCCGGTTCGTGCTCATCAAACCTCTTTTGAATGTCTAATAGTTGTAATGGTATCTGCTGATACCTTGAGTTAAAAGTGCTCATAAACAAAATTGGCACATTTACTTTTAATTCTTTTACCTGTGGCAATTGTCCAATGCGCTCATCAACATACGTTTTCAAGCTGGGTGTACCTAGTAGCTCCTCAATCATTGGCATGTTGTTCATGTAAGTTACCAAATAGGGCCTCACTTCTTTTGCCCAATCGGTATAAATGTTAACGATCTCAATGACATTTTTGATAAATTTTCCCTCAGCAATGAGCACCTTCAATAACGGTTCAAACAATTGCTTCTGATGAATCTTGACAATTGAAGCACCCGTTTTGATAACTTCTTCCTCAAATACTTTGATTTTGGGACTGTTCAGCCCAAAGAACCCCTTTGCAGCTTTGACAAACAGCGGCGCCACGACATCTACAAAGCACCGGGCTCTTTGTATAAATGTCTGCTCGTATCTCAACAAATCAAAAATTAGGGATTGCCTTTTAATCATATTGGTATCCAAATCACGCAAGTCATCAACAGTTAGCCGCCAATGGGCAGCCCAGTCAGTGGCCAACACGATATCCTTGATATTCATAGACCTCATTTTCCTCTCAAGATTCATCATCCTACTAAAGGGACAAATTGTTGAGTAGCACGTCATTTCCTCCTCCCTGGTATGGCTGATGGTAGTGTAACAATGCAGTAGTTCGGGAAGTATACCATTCACATAGACCTTGTCGTTGAACAACACAACACTTCGATCCTCATTGCCATTGGGCCGGTGTAACTCCATCACCTCGATCGCTTGTGTCTGCAAAAGTGAATTGAAAGCCGTTTGCGAGTTATGCATGACCACGTCAAGAGACAAGTCACTTCTATGAAATGCAATCAACCTTGTTATCGCTTTGAGTAACTCCGGTTTCGATATTGTCAGATCGCTCAACCATACTTGTAATTTACAGCACCACTGAAACAAATTTGACAATGACCATATCTTTGAGCAAACCTCAAAATGTTGCACTTGCAATGCGGAAGAGCTGAACGGAAGCTGGGGAAGATCCAAGGGAAGTGGTGGTAGCTCTTGTAATTTCTTGGGAAGCGGAGGTGGTGGGCCCGTCAGTAATGGTGGTGGTGGTGGTGTTGGTAGTGGTGGAAATGGTGCAGTAGAGCTGGTGGTTGAGCTAATGTCTCGGCTTGGCGGTAGTTCAGGCAAAAACGAATAGTCAAAATAGTCAGTCACTGGTGATTCGTATTTATAGATTTCCTCGTCGTCGTAAAATGGATTATCCGACACAACTCTGTATGGTGATGCAGGATGGTGTTGTGAGTACAATGAGTCTTGACGTTCTTCCACTGTATCAACGTGATCATTCAACATGAGAACCGGCCTCTCAAAGTAATCGCTTTGGTTTATCCTTTTCGGAGACGGAGATCGACTTTGCGTATGGGAATATACAGAAAGCCTCCGGCTAGGTGTGTGTGTTGGAGAAGATTCTTCCAGGTCTATAAAAGACGAGTCTATGCTCTGCCTCTGGTGTGTGGGAAAGGTTGATTGTGAGTCTCTCGTGCTCAAATTTGGGACTCCGTACAATTTTGGTGAGGTTGTATTTACTGTCTCCTCTATAATAGCCCGTGTTCTCATTTGTGAAGGAGAATCCACATCAAACGCAAAGCTGCTATCGAAATCATCATCTAGAAAGTCCTCAATCTGCCGCGTTGGGTATGGTGGGATTTTATCTGGATTATCTACTGTGTCTGAGTCAAACGAGGTTCGTTTGGAGACATTTGGATTTGATCGCGATCTGGACATCTGCTGATAGCTTCGTTGAGGTAGAATACGGCTGATTTGTATACTCGCATGTGTAGGCCTAGGTGGAGGAGAGTAGATACTCTTTGTTGGAGTTGTTGAATCATCGTACTCCCAAATTTCTTTCGGTCCTTTTGGCTTCGGCGAATCATACGATGTAAACGATTCGTCAAACGATATCTCAGTTGTGTTGTGTTGGTCTTCCACGGGAGTAAAGACTGAAGGATCGATTCCACTAATTGTGGAGTGTGTGAGCCGAGACAGACTTGTGTATTGCCCTTGGCTCAGAATTGGGGCCGATGATGAACCGGATCCATATATCCCGCTGGGGTCTGATTCCGAAGGTGGGGGTTTTCTTCTGGGTGGTTGCTTTCTTGACATTCCGATACACTAACCACAGACACAAAGTGGTACCTCTATAGTGATGGCTCTGAATTGTAACGCTTGGCTGTCTGTTAAAACTTCGATGGAATTGCAATTAACCAATATTGGCACAATTTGATTGTGCCTTAGCGCTATGTTTTTGTTTTGTTCAAAAGATTTTTTTTTTTTTTTCCGACTTTAAGTTGCAACAAGTAGATGCAGCGAAGTACAAAAGTGTGGTTGCAATTGATGACAATTAGGAACTAGAGAGACGAGTAGCTATTGAAATGAGATTGTTGAAATTGAAAGGTGACTGGCTTTAGATTATCCTTTGCTCTTTTATTGTGTCCCTTTTTCGTAATTTTTCTCAAATAATTTGCAAGCATGTAGGTGTAAATATTTTTAGGTTCCTTATTCTCAGATATGAAAAGTACGTAAACATTTCAGGGCTTACATTACGCAAACAATTGTACAGTAAGCCCAAACACATCCTCCAGACATCTTCACTTGCTTTAACTGGAACCTCTTTGAATGTACTTGAAGTCGTCAGATTGTTTCAGTCGCGTCTTACCACAATAAAAAAAAAAAATAAAAATAAAAAAAAAAGAAAAAGAAAATAAAAAATAATAAAACAAAATTGACATTGCATCCGTTACCTTCAGAAAGCAACACAACGACAATCAAATAGGATGCCATACTCGGATGAGGTCAATCGTTTGGTCCAAGAAGGCTCCAAGTCCTACGCATCGAAAGAGTTTGACCTAGCTTCGGAAAAGTATGGGAAAGCATGCGAGGTGTTCTCGACTGAACACGAGGGTGAAGAGGATGGTGATTTACTATTTCTATACGGAAAAGCCTTGTTTCAAAGCGGGGTGAGCAAAAGTGAAGTTTTAGGAGGAGTCAGTGCTTCTGGTCAAGGCGACGCTGAAGAAAACGAAGAGAATGGCGACTCTGAAGATGCCGATGGCGAAGGGGGCAATAAATTTCAATTTTACGATGCAGAGCCCATTGAAGGTGAGGTAGCAGCAGAAAACAGCGAGCAAGAGGAGGGAGACGCAGAGGAAAAAGATGTGGAAAATGAAAATGCAGAGGAGAAGAAGGACGAGGGTGGTGAGGACGAAGAAGCCGACGAAGAGAGTGGTCAAGAACCCGGTGATTTGGAGATGGCGTGGATCATTTTAGATGCAACCAGAGCCGTTTTCGAAAAACAGCTTGAGTCTGCCATCAAACCCACACAATTGCCTCCTTATATAAGTAAACCAGATGACGCCATTGACAATGACTATGTCAAGGTGTTGAAGAAATTGTCTGAAACGTATGACATTCTAGGTGAAGTATCATTGGAAATGGAGAATTTCCCGCAATCGGCACAGGATTTCACTAAATCACTTGAATTGAGGTCAGAATTGTTCCCATTTGAATCCCCACTTGTGTCTGAATCTCACTATAAACTAGCGCTCGCATTAGAGTTTTGTGTTGAAGACGGTGGCCAAGATGTGACTGAAGCCCGACAAAATGCCGCTAAACATATTCAAGAGGCTATCAAATCAACGGAGGCGAGGAACGAAAAGGAGACTGACGCGTCTGTGAAAAAGGACAATGAGGAGATGATTGGAGAGTTGAAGGAAAAGTATCAAGATTTGATCAAAGATCCAAGCGAGCAGTTGCAACAAGAACAATTGGATATCATGAAGGGAATATTGGGAAGTGAAGCAGCTGGTGCAAATGCTGGTCAAGCCATCATTAACAATTTGACGTCAATTGTAAAGAAAAAAGGGGAAGAAGGTAATAGTAGTAGTAGTAGTGGTACTACTACTACTGCTACTACTGGCAACAACAACCCCGCGGCCAGTGCACCTAAGCCGGTCAATGACTTGTCAGGATTGGTGAAAAAGAGGAAACCAAGTAAGGACCATAGTGCTTCAAAAAAGGCAAGAAAGTGAGGACAAATTAGGATGGTTGTGTAATAATGAACGTGATCTCTTCCCCACCTGATTTTGTTGTGAAAAAAAAATCTCTCTTCCGTTGTTCCGAGGCTACAAATAAGTCACGAGACTAGTTTCTTTTTTTATATAACAAAAAAAGAAGGGTTGGTAAGTGGAGTGTACGAATTAACGGACGACACTACTTTACTTGATATTCCACTTGATCCATTCCGTTCGAATAGTGCATTATAGTAATCAATATACGCATTCCACTGGCAACTTTTGGCAGGGTCCTGAACAACTCATGAACTATTTTTTATTCCACGGTAGAACTCTCAAGAAAAATAATCAGCCACGGGAAAATACAAAAATTACCCAAGGAGGTAATTACTCGCGGCATTTTCCAATTATTGATAAAAATGCGAGTTTCGGTCCCGGGTGAGCCAAAAAAAAAAAAATATAAAAAACAGATATACAAGAGAGTATAACAGGCGCGGGCTTTTGTAAAGATGTCGATTTCTAGCTGGCTTAGAAAGCTGTTTAGCCCGTAATTAGGACAATACTAGATAGTTGCGTTTGTCCGAGAATGAAGCACATGATGTGAAAATCGCACAGAGTATAAACACGTAGAAGTATTTCCTAAATTAAATAACTGCTTGTCACCACTAAGGTGTATTTCCCCTTCCGTAATCGCTGTAGCGCGCACCAAGAAAACCATTCAGCCTTTTCTTTTTTTTTTTTTTGTTCTTTTGTTCTTTTGTAAGGCAAACTCCCATTCAACCGAGGAAGTAACATAAGCTTTTTTTTTTTCTTTTCTTTATTATTTTTATTTTACAGTGAGCGATTGAGGTTATGGCGAACAGGACATAAGGAAGGTTGGAGAGAGAGAGAGAGAGAGAGAGAGAGAGAGAGAGAGAGAGAGAGAGAGTATTTAGCGAGTTTCGGCTCTAGCCCAGTGCTCGAAACTTGGCAAGAGCTCTACGTGCAATGACAGTAGCAGGTATAATATATGGAAGGAAAGTTACGTCTGAGTAAAGGCCTTTTCATACAAGTGTGCACATACATGGGTTGCAGTCTATGGAAATCAACTTATAAACACCGACAGCAGAACAGTATGCAGGAATTTGGTTCTAATATACACTCTGTGATATTTTTTTTCTGTTCCTGTTTTTATTTTATTTTTTTTTTTTTTCAAACTTCTTTTTCTTTTTCTCTTTATTTTTTTTGGCTTTCTCGCATGTCAAAATCCGGGGAAACTTATGAACAGCTAAAAAATTATCAGTGGATGAACATTAGTACTCTTTCACGAGACTATGATGATGCCGAATGTAGTGGAGAACATCTTACCAACATTTATACTGAGAATAGCTTCTTCCAAATTTACACATTTTCTTTTATAGATGTTGTAGAAGTCTCATAGTGGCGGTTACTGCTTCCTCGGATAGTCAACACCTGTAAAGGTGATTGACTATGACTCTCGTCGAGTAACTGTTTTGTGATACATTAGTTTGAAAAAAAACAAAAAGAAAAAAACAAAAAACAAAAAACAGAATGGAATTAAAACACCGACGAACGATATTTGCCAAAGTCTATAAATATCTACCAATATTTTCAAACTTTTGGAAAAGATATCTCTCAATCTTTCTTTCTTTCTTTCTTGTTTTATCAACTTTGTTTGTTATATAATCTAATAACCAAACTTCCACCACTATTACTACTACCACCACTTTGCACAATGGCTTACACTCCTATTGATTTGAAAAAGGAAGAACAAGACTTCGAAAAAGAAGTTGCTGAAATTAAGAAATGGTGGGCTGAGCCAAGATGGAGAAAAACCAAGAGAATCTATACTGCTGAAGATATTGCTAAGAAGAGAGGAACTTTGAAGATTAGCTACCCATCTTCTCAACAAGCAGACAAATTGTTTTCTCTTTTGGAAAAACATGACGCCAACAAGACTGTTTCATTCACTTTCGGTGCTTTGGACCCAATCCACGTCACTCAAATGGCCAAGTACTTGGATTCCATTTATGTTTCTGGATGGCAATGTTCTTCAACTGCTTCTACTTCAAACGAGCCATCACCAGATTTGGCTGATTACCCAATGGACACTGTTCCAAACAAGGTTGAACACTTGTGGTTTGCTCAATTGTTCCACGACAGAAAACAAAGAGAAGAAAGATTGACCATGACCCCAGAAGAAAGAGCAAAGACTCCTTACACTGACTTTTTGAGACCAATCATTGCTGATGCCGACACTGGTCACGGTGGTTTAACTGCTATCATCAAGTTGACCAAATTGTTTATTGAAAGAGGTGCCGCCGGTATCCATATCGAAGATCAGGCTCCAGGTACCAAGAAATGTGGTCATATGGCCGGTAAGGTTTTGGTCCCAGTCCAAGAACACATCAACAGATTGGTTGCCATTAGAGCATCTGCTGATATTTTCGGCTCAAACTTGTTGGCTGTTGCTAGAACTGATTCGGAAGCTGCTACCTTGATCACTTCTACCATTGACCACAGAGACCACTACTTTATTGCTGGTGCCACTAACCCAGAGTCAGGTGACTTGGTTCAATTATTGGTTGAAGCTGAAGGTAGAGGTGCCACCGGTGACGAATTGGCTGCTATTGAAGCTGAATGGACCAAGAAGGCTGGCGTCAAATTGTTCTCCGAAGCCGTTATTGACGAAATTAAGAATGGTTCATACTCCAACAAGGACCAATTGATTAAGCAATTCACCGACAAGGTTAACCCATTGTCTGAAACTTCCAACAAGGAAGCCAGAAAATTGGCCAAACAGTTGACCGGAAAGGACATCTACTTCAACTGGGAAGTCTCAAGAGCCAGAGAAGGTTACTACAGATACAAGGGTGGTTGCCAATGTGCTGTTATGAGGGGTAGAGCTTTTGCTCCATATGCCGACTTGATCTGGATGGAGTCTGCATTGCCAGATTACGCACAAGCCAAGGAATTCGCCGATGGTGTTAAATCAGCTGTCCCAGACCAATGGCTCGCTTACAACTTGTCCCCATCATTCAACTGGACCAAGGCTATGCCAGCGGACGAACAAGAAACTTATATCAAGAGATTGGGTGAGCTCGGTTACGTTTGGCAATTCATCACTTTGGCAGGTCTCCATACTACTGCTTTGGCAGTTGATGATTTCGCTAACAACTATGCCAAGATTGGTATGAGAGCATACGGTTCTCAAGTCCAAGAACCAGAAATCGCCAAGGGTGTCGAAGTTGTCAAGCATCAAAAATGGTCTGGTGCTACTTACATTGATGGTTTGTTGAAGATGGTCTCTGGTGGTGTAACGTCTACTGCTGCTATGGGTGCTGGTGTCACCGAAGACCAATTCAAGAACTAGATTATGTAGTTATGTTGTATTTAGTTTGAAATGAAGTTGTATATCTTTTGTTAACGGTATTTTGTAGGAAGAGCATGCATGGCTCTGAAGTTGAGAGAGAAGAAGAAGAAAAGCAAGAAAAAAAAAAGAGTAACTCCGCTGCTTGAAGACCATCTCACACAACCTGGGCCATGAAATGGGGTTCATTCTACCCGGCAAGCCATTAAAATCACTAAATCCACTACTGTCGCAAGAACCTCTACGTAAAAAAAGGAGGCGAAACCATGTGTCTCGCGCTACAGCAAGTACTAGTCCGCCACTTTTGGAAAAGACAAAACTGCCACAAGACAAGAGCACATTGAATGGCACCACCCACCGCAAACTCACCATTAACCATCTCCCTATAAATTTGATGTACAAGATATTCCTCCTAGCTGGCCCAAGTAACAATCTACCACTACTAAACAGGACCATGTACTCCAACTTGCAATTTAATGGAGATCCTCCACAACTTTTAGGTATAGACACCACCACCACCAACTCATGGCCCCATTACTCATTGGCTTTGCAGATCATTAAAACGTACTTTTTGGCTGACTTGAACACGCGACTCGATGGTGACATCATTGAAAGGAAGATTGAGTATTATGAGTCGTACGTGGAGAAGTTGCGTCTGGTCTATATGGAAGTCGAGCGCAGCACATTTTATCTCAAGTTACTTGATAGTTTGAAGGGGCTTAAAGAATTATGGCAAGCATATACCTCGGTGGTGGGAATGTATGTTATTGATGCATCCATACTAAACTACCGGTTTGTGTCTAGCAAGTTGTTGACCACTTTAAATCTGGAAACATTTGGTGATACGGATCACAAACTGAAACTTCTACGATACAAGTCCCGGAATGATATCTATATGAATCGAAAGTTGAGATTGATGTTTCTCAAGGTGAAATTCGCAGAGGTTCATGCATTGGCCAGCCGGGTCAATTTTGAATTGAGAAGAGAACAATTTGTACACTCATCCATGCTTGAAAAATTTGACGAGTACTTGGTGTTCATCGACACCAAGGACAATGATTCCGACTTGATCAGCGAGTTAGATCCGTTGGGGAAACCGATGGATAATCCTTCACTCCCAGATTTTGAGGATGAGCAAGTGATTGGCGGTGGTGGGTTTTCAAAGGATGAAATAAACTTTTACAATTTCAAAGATGGCATGAGTCATGGCCATGTATACTTTGGAGAAGTAGAGAACAATGAGAACCAGTTCACTATCCCCAACCACATATACATCAAAAGCATCTCGTCAAAGAGGTATTTTGACACATTGTGCTTTCTTATCAAACAGCCACACAAAAAGGTCAAAGCTGACCGTATCATCGAGGAGATTCTTGAGGCTAGGAGAATGGACGAGTACGCTGGTTCAAAGGTACCGTACCTAAACGAAGTTACGCAAATAATTTTTAATGATTCAAAATAAAATAACCTTTATTTAGATTAATAGATCTACTATCTTCATAAAAAAATAAAAACTCTATACAACTTCTCAGTATTGATGATCAATGATGGGTTGTTGCGCACCATCTGCACGATGTTGGTGGTGCTGTTGTTGTTGCTGTTGCTGTTGTTGCTGTTGCTGTTGCTGATATTGTTGTTGGTAGGGATCACTTAAATGATGCTGGACGGGAGTTGGCATCGTTATCTCATGGAACCACGGGTGTTGCAAAGCCTGTCTTGCGGTGATTCTCAGTTCTGGTCTCATTTGCAATAGACTCACCAACAAATTCAATCCCATTGAGTCCAAGTTTGGCACCAACAAGCGTAAATCTTGAGGAACAAAAATTTGCCAGTTGTTTTTGTAATTGGGGTAGGAGCTGATACCAGGCCACGTACGTTCATTGGGAGTTCCCATCAACCGGAAGATTTTAATCAACTGGTCATCATTGGCGGTACCTGGAAACAATGGTTTACCAGTACACATTTCGGCAAATATACACCCAGCTGACCAGATATCTATCGACGTAGTATATGCTCTAGATCCCAACAACACATCTGGCGCTCTATACCATAATGTGACAACCTCGTTGGAAAAAGTATTGAAAGGAATACCAAATGCACGAGCCAATCCAAAATCCCCCAATTTCAATTCACCTTTGCTGTTAATCAACAAATTTTGTGGTTTCAAATCACGATGCAAGACTCGATTATCATGACAAAACATGATTCCCTTAAGTAGTTGAAACAAGAAGCTTTTGACAATTTTCAAATCCAAAGCACCCTGTTGACCATGAACCTCCATATACTTTTTCAAATCCTTATCCATGTATTCAAACACAAGGGTTAATTTATTCTCCGTATGTATGACATCGTACAAGGTTACCACATTCTCATGATCCAACTCTTTCATCAAGGAAATCTCCCTAATTGCAGTTGATGGTGTGCCTTCTTCAGAATCCAAGTTGATCTCCTTCAACGCAACCAATGCGCCAGTCGCGCGGTTACGGCCCTTGTACACGGTGGCATACGTTCCTTCTCCTAGTTTCTCTAGCTGTTGGAATCTAGCAAGGCGTTAGTAGAAAAGAATTCATAGTGTTAGGGTTTTATGGTAGTTACATACTGGGATGATGAGCCGGTCATGTTTCCCAAAGCGAACGATTCGTTGAAGGCAGTAAAAGTGACTGTACTGTGTCTTTTTTTCTTCTCAGTATTTTGTCACCCTCTTCTTCAAACGAAAAAAAACAAAAGAACAAAAAAAAAAAATTTCGAAATTTTGTTCAAATAGGGAAAAATCATTTTCAATTGTGATTTTTGCGTAACAGAGCACGAAAGAGTCAAGTGTTACAACATATACTTCTATTCAATGACTTCTAGGAGCTTTCTTCATCAAAGACAACGAGTTTTCAACCCACCCTTCTGCACCCCCTTCCATGGCTATGATATCCAACACTCGTAACTGTGTGATTTCTGCAGGTTCTCCTTGGAACGGTTTCACTTTTTCGCAACTCATCACCGCAGCATTTCTCGTGCTTGGTATACGTAGCATCTCCTTTTCAACCTGCCATCCATTCAATAGAGCAATGTCTTCCACGTGGTCCACTAACGATCCATATGTGGATGCCAGAGCTTGATTTGGTAAAGCAGTTTTCGCTTTCCTTGGCGGGAATCTCATCTTGCTACCATTCAAAGCATGCGAGCAGCAAGGGATCACCATAAACGGAAACTCTAATAGTGGGATCCAACAAGTCAACTCGTCGGAGTGGTTTCCTATCAAAAACGTGTTTTTGGGAAAGGCTTCGGTGGTGCACACATTTGGCGAATTGAGCAAGCTTTCGGCTGTGTGATAGTTAACTTGATTATTCTTTGGTTCAGCAAACTGTCTCCCATTGTCTTTTATATGAGGTGCAATTTTGGCCAATGATGGATGCGGTTTCAACAAGATGCTGGGAACAATAATCTTTTCATGCAATTTTTGCTGCACTTCCGGTGGATACGTTTTCCATGACTTCCTTGCTCGTGCATCAATCCCTTCTCCCTTGTACCCTTCCATCATCAATATATATACAAGAAGCCCATTACCGCACCCCATATCTCGAAATTCAAACTCTTCCTTATTGAACTTTTTCAATTTCCAATACTCTATCAAAAATGCAGCTATTGCAAGATCTTCAAAAACGTGTTTCTTTGGATCTGTTGATTCGCACCATGAGTTAACCAAGTCTGAAGAATACTTTGACTTTAGCGTTATATACCTGTTTTGAAAATCCACTTTTGAAACCACCAAGTCATGACTGACCCTCTTTTCGTACCCTAAATTTACACCATTCGAGTGCTTTGTGGACGTCTGTAGTAGTCTCAATGCAATCCTGATTGGTCTTTCTGTCAAGTCCATTTTCTGCAACTTCCTCCTTTCCTCGCGCCAATTGTTCAACACAAAAGGTAGATAGTGAAGCGATACCTTATTATTGTGAAATAATATCCCCACAGCGTAGACTGGGGGTAGGTAATATGGTATTTCCTCTGCAGTATCAATATGTGGCACATAAACAACTAGTATGCTCTGTTCATTGTCCGTCTTCATCACCAAACAAGTCTGGTTGATGATATAATCTTTGAACGGGTTCCGGGGTATAATTCTTCGTACTATTTCAAATCTGTTCTTCAAGTCGAGCTGGCAACCATCCATGTTTATCGTTCTAATATTCACATCTTGCAAGTCACGATGTAGTAAAACAACATCGCTATCCCCCCTTGACTCGACTTCAGGAATAGAGTTTATCAACTTACTGATAAAAGTAGTTTCGCCTTCGTTTGGATTAAACACCCTCTCCTTTAAAATATCTGCACGGAGTATAACTGTTGAATTGATATTGGGTTGTTTGATGATATTGAGCATGGCATGCTCGAAATGGCTCGGCTCAAAGTTTGCTCCTTTTTCGTATATAGGACACCACCTCTCCCCTAGGATAGATTCACCGTTTATAAGCAAAGTTGGTTCTTCACTTTTCCTACTTTTAGGTGGCATCTCGATTGAAGGGCTCATCAAAGATCGTTACAGACGAATCTGTTTAGCATTTTTTTTTTTTTCTTTTTAATTTTTTTTTGCGCGATGTAGCTTAACTTGTGATGTATCGCGCTGATTGGCATTATATGAATATTGAGTACGGCACGACCTTTTAAGCTTTCACCATAAAAAGTGATCTTTACATTCAAGACGAGTCCTTGAATACTATAAATATAAGACTAATTTGGAAGTGGAGGAGTAGGTCTGCCCTACTTCAAAACCACCCAGACTTGGTCGTTTTTTTTTTCTTTCTCCCGAAGCTAGTTATGTGCTGTTATGGGTTTGGTTTGATGCTGTTGGTGTTGGTTTTGAAAAGGTGGTTTGGAGGAGAGAGGTTGTTTTGTTTTTAAAGGAGCCGCCCTTACTGGTGGTGAGCTGAAATGGTAAAACAGGTTCAGCATGTTTTCATGTGCCGGCCTGTAGTATTTTGCTGGTTACTCGCCTCACTGCCTAATGTGCAGTGTGGGAGAAGAATGGAGGCATTATTTTGTTTTGTTGTCAGATGTACATTCCTATCATATTTCCAGAAAAGATTAAAAGAGGGAACCTTTTTTTTTTCCTTGTTTTATTTCTTTGCTATACATAGAGGTATTCTTAGCTACATATCTATAAAGTATGTATCTATCGTATCCGTAAACTTATGCTTCTTATAACAATAGGGACATTTGAAAACATCAATTCCCTTCTTAGAAAGGTGCCAGACACTCTCCTTCAATGTCAAATGATTGCAATACTTTAATGCAACCACTTGTGTATTTAAAGGGTTGTCAAGTGCCGTCTTCCTTTTTCTCGTAACAAGCTGTCCCTTTGGATCAGTATCAACTGTAATCGATTCCTCTGTGACCTCAGAAAGGGGAATTGATTGCTCTCGTGTAACTGGACATATGAATATGGGGTGATTTCGAAACAAATACCTGTTCGAATCCGGCAATTGAAACGGTAACTCAAAATGAAATGACGCAATACTACTCTTGGTGATACCTTTCTCCGATGGAGTTGACTTCGATTTGTCATTAAACTTCTTCATTTTCAACTCAATCAGATTGTACTTGTAAAAGCTAGGCAAGAATATGTGGCCAGCTAGTACACTTTGGAATAAAGAAGAGTCACTCGACAACTTCAAATCCTTGCAGTATTCGGCAACAAAATCATGAGACAAATTGGCAAATAATTCTTCATTGTCGTGAACATTGTTAAAACTGTTGAGCAACTCGGAAACAAACTCTGCTTCGCTTTGACGACCGTTACCAAGCACTTCGTCAGCTTCTATAGCGAACCCCTGTTTTAGCTTTTCAATGAAGTTGCCTATACCAGTTTCTGTGTGCTTTTGCAGTGAAAAGTTCTCTATACCGGAAACCGAGTTGAAAAGAATCAATGACATCAAAGGTGCCAACTCATTCAAATAGTCCTTCAAAAACTTACCAAAGTGATCTCTTGAGTAAAAATATGCCTCTAATGCATTACTTGCTGTGAACTTCAGATCTTTCCCGTTTAGTAAAATAATAAACTGAAGCATGTGAAACTTGAACTCGACCTCACTTAAAGTATCACTTCTCTCAACAAAGGGTACCTTCTTGACTGCCTGTTCATTGAATTTAGTTTGAAACCAAGCCAAAGCATGAGACAAGTCGTGCCTAATGCAGATGTCATCAACAATCTGATTAAGCAACTTGAACTTTTCCGCCAAGTCATCGTCAATTGATATTGTCAGTTCATTCAACAATTGTTTTACCATGGACGGGACAATATTGCTTTGCCCAATTTTTAGCAAATGCAAAATTATAGCTTTGATCAACTCTTGTCGATTCTCCTGTTTTGTGCTTCTGTTTTCCAACTCCAGTGGAATCTGGTTCAATGGGCCTAATCCTACTTCATTCAACGATTTATCAAGATTGAACTCACCAGTGGGATAACTGTCCATATTCAATGGGTATATGTATGCATCGTCCAAGTTGACAGCAAACTTGCTATTGTTTAACACATTCTTCAGGAACCGATTATTGCTTGTGTTGTAGTTCTTGAGTCGACTTATTGAAGATTTATACCACGAATCCATGTGCTTCAGAAGCTTGCCGGTTTGATCCGTGGACGATGGATGTGTGTTTCCGTTTTGCACTTGTGGCTCCCCTTGCTCCACAGTTATTTCCGACTCCAAATCGGATTCCAAATCCCTCAACTGTTGTAAGAAGCTATTGGAGTCCTCTAGTAGTGCGTTGAGGCTTTCCTTGCCACTAGAGTCGAGCTGATTCACCTCCAGGGCGAGCGTACTCAATAGTGTGGATGTCATGTTCAGTGTGTACTAATGTGTGATAAGGATCAAAGAGAAACTCCCGCACTTTAATGAACCCCGAATTATACAAATCACACCAACAGCACATTTAAACAACACATTAAAGATTAACCTTGCAATTAGTGCAACTATCTACATTAAGCTGACAAAGAAGGTTTCATAATACCGAAGTTGGAATGCGTATTTCATTTCTTTACATTAATAAACACGTCGCTACAAGCCTCTGCTTTATATATCCAAGTAATCCGCTTTAACCAACAACTCCAATGCCAAGTGGGTTGGGATATTGAATTCAGGAACATCTCCGCTTTCTGCTTGATCCTTGTATTTGTAATGATAGTACAAATACTCCACAATACACTCGAGAATATCACCGTCCATGTCTAGCTCTATTCGTCCCGTTTTCCCCTCTTCAAATCCTTGTGAATTCCGCAACACCGACGATATAGATGCCACATCTTTCAGTATTATAAACTTAAAGTTGTCCGAAGAGACTAGTGTAACAAACTCTACCTCCAATTCAGCCATGATCTTATACGTGTTGGCGTGCCACCTTCAAAGATCCCCCTCCCTTCCTCCCTCCTCCCCCTCGCTCAAAAGTATAAAATTAATTTTCCATCGCGTTGCGACGAAACAACTGTAAGACAACTAACTATACACAGGCGTAATCACAGATGCCAACAAATCCCACCTCCAATTGGCTGAGACTACAGAATGTCTACTATGACCTAAGAACGTGCTATGCTCCGCTAGGCTGGTCTATTGGAAACTTGCACTCCGATTACAAAATAGCCTTTGCATCCAATTCCACATTGATTGCCGTTGCCTCCAATTCGGTACCGCATCCTAATCTCATTGAAGTGTACAGTCTTAGTGGGAACAAAGTAACATCAGTGGTTTATAATTCTACACCAACTGACTACATTCACGACTTTTGCTTCCGCAATGAGGATCTAATGTTGGTACTCAATGATGGAAGGATTCGATACTACCAAGATTTGGTGGGGAATTTTAATGAGTATCGATTTACTGAAAATGCAATCAAATTGGACAACATGACAGCCAACGGAAAGGCTATCAATGGGTCTGCTACCGAATCAAGTCGAATGATCACAAATCTCGAAAATGACGAGATGGAGGAAGTTGTTAATATTCAGGAGGTCCTAGTATCGAAAACTCACTTAGTCATAAGACTTGACAACAAACTCGTCTTGACGGACTTGAACTCGTTTCAAAACTACGAAATTGATATTTCTAGCTTCTCTTCGAGGGGCATTGAGGGGATGGTTATAAACGGCAGTCAGGAAACCGTTATCATTTATGTTGCCTGTCAGAAAACAATTTTAGTATTGAAGGTTGACTTTGGTCTCTCGAGTTTTGAACTTGTTGATCAAGAGCTCACAGATGGGCCATTCAACAGTATCTCGGTCTCACCAAATGGACAACTTACAGCACTACACAACAAAACATACAACAAAGTCTTTGTTGTAAGTAGCGCATTTGATCAAATACTTTTGGAGTATGACACTTCCAATGACTCGAGCTCCCCACATCAAGTAGCATGGTGCGGGAATGATGCAATTGCACTATCCTTGAAAGACGAAATAAAGTTGATTGGCCCAGAACAGCAGTCAATTTCATTCTTTTACGACATTAACGAAGACGACGATTTTGATCTCGACAATCTACTACTTAAGGATTCTGGGAAGAATGACTTGCTGTACACGATTCCCATTATACAAACGTTGCCAGATGGGTTGAGAGTAGTAACTAGCGAAAAAGTGCAGTTTTTGTACCGAGTTCCAGAAAAAACGGTGGCGATGTATCAAATTGGATCAAACAGTCCCAGTAGTATATTGGCTGATTGCGTAAACAAATTCAGTCTGAATGCTGCTAAAGCCCATGCCAACATCACACTTTTGAAGTCGGATGATGTTCTTTCTATTGCAATGGATGATGCCCTTGCAGTAGCCCTTGACGAGCTTGACACTAGTTGGCAAAAGAGGGCATTGAAGGCTGTTTCGTTTGGAAAAGTATATGCAGAGGGGGCGTTTGACGCGGACCATTATTTAACCGTTTTGGATACAATCAAGGTTTTGAATCAACTACGAGCACCTGAGTTGGGAATATTTCTCTCCTATCTGGAGGTGCAATCAATTGGTTGGAAAGAAGTTGTCAAGATGCTTTTACGAAGGAATCAACACTATCTTGCTTTACGAATTACAAAGGCTCTTGAGCTCAAAGACGTGATTCCCTTGATATATGTTCATTGGTGCTGCTACAAAATACGAAAAGAACTGAACTTGTCCGATGTGCAATTGTTCAAAACAATTGTCAATAAATTGTTATCGGCTTCAAAGAAAAGGAGAAATTATATATCCATTGATATGATTTCAGATGTGGCACACGAGGAAGGGAGAGTCATTTTGACCAACTTGTTAGTCGATTTGGAGCCTTCAATAATTAGCAAGATAAAGAAGCTTGTTGAGTTTGATGAGACTGAGTTAGCTTTAGTCAAAGCTTTCCAATCTGGCGATTACGCCTTGGGACTTTTGATGCTCTTGCATTTACAAGATACTCTTCCCACATCCGACTTTTTTGAAATCTTGAATCAAAATGAGAGCAAGCACTATAATCCTACTATTAGTAGAGAGTTACAAGACTTGGAAGTTGAATTACCAACTGAGGTCATCCCGATCAAAGGTGATGTAATTGGTCATACTTGGATAGAGTCCTTAGGGAAATCCGATCCCAAACTAATGGAGAAATTTTTGATCCACGAAGATAAAAACAATGAGTTGAATTTGCTCAAGCTAAAGGAGTTTGCGAAAACTCATCCAAATGGTGAAGGTGAGGAATACTACAACAGCTACAAAAAGTTGTTAACAAAGTGTTTGCGAAGATCAGCCCGCACCACCACCATGAAAGCAATTGAGAGAGAACTTAAAATTCTTGAACTACAACACAGATTGGAGAAAACATATCTTACCAATTTCTATTCTGAAAAATCGTTGCTATCAATCTTGGCCAGGTTAATCAAAATGAATCAAATCAAGCCGGCAAGTAAAATAGTGAGGGAGTTTGCAATACCGCAAGAGAAATTCTGGCATTTGGTATTGAGCACATATGCACGAGCTCACGAATTTGATCGATTGTACGAATTTGTTTTTGGGTCATTGGATGCATCGTCGGGGAAATCTCCCATCGGTTTTGAACCAATTATCGATGCGGCATTTGCTAATAATGCACCAAAGGAGCACATATCGGCGTATATCCGCAACTCGGTAAAGTACAAGTATGATGAAAAAGTTCGTTTATTTGTGAGAAATGGGGATTATGAGTCGGCTGCACATGAGGCATTCAAAAATAAAGACATTGAGGTTCTTCGCAACTTGCAACAGACTGTTCCTAATTCGGACACAAAAGCTTTACAAATTATAAAGTCAAATATGCAAAAGTTGGGTTACTAAGAAGTGATTGTATGAAATTTTCCATCTATAATATGTCCATATGTAGCCCCATCCTCTCCTGTTAGCCAGTGTGGTATTTCGTTGGGATTCAAAACCATTTGCTTTGGATCAGTGGTGGAGACTGCCATCTCGTGTAGTCCACCAAATACATCTGATCCAAAAAGTTTGAGCTTGATGTTGGACCTCAGAGGTACGTTACTGTTTATGGGTTCTTGAATGAGGAATTCAGTGTGTTGGAGCGGGGTGTGTGATGCAAATTGAGATCTAGTTGGCACCATCTCTGATTCAACTACTGAAAAATCTCGTTTCCGTGATGAGCGATTGCTAGTGTGACCGTCAGTGATGAATCCTTGATATCGTAGGCTAGCAATTTCGTCAAGTTTAGTTTCCGGTGAACCACTTCCACCGTTAAAGTGTTCTTGTAGAGTTGAATGTTGATCCAAATCACCCAACGGTCCCGTATCGACATGTCCATGAGCATATTGTGACCAAACACCGAGACTTTTGCCCAATCTTGAATTACCTTTCAAAGCGTGGATTGATGCTAACGATTGGATTGGCTTCTGCTCAGATGTGACAAGCTTGACTGGGATCTTGTCATTTTCTGGCAAGCACAATTCGATTGTTTTCAATATCAACTTGTGAAATACGTCGTCGCTGATCTCGGAATGGAAAATATAAGGCGACTCCGAAGGTGTGCAGATTAGAAAGGGTGCATGCGGTGAAACTTGAGGCTGGCTTGAATCCAAAAGACCTTGTCGCAGATTTAGATCAAATACTTGGATTCTAACAACATGTGCGGGCAATTGTGGATGTTTGAAGACATACACATGTGTAAGATAAAGTTCATTCACTCTTGAAACTATGTTCTTGGTGAACGAAGGTATATCTATCTGAGAGCACACCTCCTTACCATCTCCATCTTTAATAATTGAGTAAGTCCAACCAAAGTCACCAAAGTCGTCTAGAATCAATTGACTATCCAACTGTGCATGTTGTAATAAATTTAACCCACTGGACCAATACTCGTAAATTATTTTCCTAATGATGTCTGACTTCTCAGTTTGAGGATTCTTTTGAAGAGCTTTAATATCTTTGGTGAGCTTGTTACAGAATCCCTGATGCGTGTAGATTGTATCTTTGGGGAGTTGTGGTTGTGTGTGTTGTGATTTGGTCCAGCGGAGGCAAAGTTGGTACAATGACTCAGTAGTGAGGCGCTCTAGACTCCTTGAAAGATATTCTACAGAGTACTTGGGTATGTACGTATCAGGAAGACTCGTTCTCCTCTCGGTGGGCTCCATTTTGTGGTGAATGATGGCGGGAGTAGCTTCTACCGCTGTTTACCGCTTGGTCAGATATATCGGCTACCATATGTGTTGAATTTTTTTGTGACTTCTTTTTTGTTTTTTTGTGGAAACGAAATCTCCGCGATGCTCTTTCCATTTTTTTTTTTATATAATTTTTATCACTTCGTTTTAGCAGCTGACTATTATCCAAGAACACAGATTGATCGTGATGTCCGAGGCTGAGAGCATATCTAAAGACACTGCTGAAGTTGCAGGAGCTACTGCGGCTCCAGCACCAACAAGCACCACAAAGCAGTTAAATGATGATGGTTTAGATCATAAAACACTTTTTGTTCGCTCCATACCGTCTGAAGCTACATCAGAGGATTTGTCAACATTCTTTTCACAATTTGTTCCTGTAAAGCACGCAGTTATTGTCACTGATGAGAATAAACAGAGTAGAGGATTTGGGTTTGTTTCATTCACCTTGGACGACGACACATTGACTGCGTTGGTTGAGGCTAGAAAGACTAAATTTCAAGGAAAACTATTGCGAATTGATATTGCCAAGAGAAGGGATCGTAAGACTCAGGGACCTGATGGAAGCTCAATTTCAAGTAGAAAGAGTGAGCCAATAGAGAAAAGGAAAGCCCGATTGATTATCAGGAACCTACCTTGGAGCTGTAAAAAACCAGACACTTTGAAAAATATATTTCAAAGATATGGAGCTGTTTTTGATGCTTATATTCCCAAAAAGAAAGGTGGTCAAATGTGCGGATTTGCGTTTGTGATTATGAAGAAGAGAGCTGCTGCCGAAAGAGCCGTGAGGGAGAGTAAAGGGTTGAAGATTGATGGGAGGGAAGTCGCAGTTGATTTTGCATTGGAGAAATCCAAATGGGAACAAGTTAAGGACCAAGAGGAAAGTGGAGATGAAGAAGATGGTGTTGGTGATGAAGTGGCGAACGAGGATTCAAAGAATGAAGACCTCTCCGATGATGCCGAGGAAGCCGAAGGTGGTCTTGGAAGTGATGAAGATGACGAAGAAGAAAACGAAGAAGACGAAGAAGAAGGCGAAGAAGAAGACGAGGACGAAGAAATTCACGAGGATTCGAACTTTGACAAGTTGAATGAAATCAACACTGACGATGAGGTTGACTCGGATGATGAAGACATCAAAATTGAGGTCGACGGTGAGTCGCAGGAGAGCGAAGAGGGCGAGAAACCAAAGAAGAAAAGCAATAGGCAAGAAGCGTACTCAATCTTTGTACGGAACATTCCTTACGACGCTGATGAGGAGAGCTTGAAAGAACACTTTGAGTCCTTTGGACCCGTCAAGTATGCACTTCCCGTTATCGATAAAGAAACCGGGTTATCCAAGGGCTCAGCGTTTGTCGCATTCAACAAGGAAGATGCATATCTCGACTGTCTCGACAATGCTCCGTCGAATACAGGGTCAACTTCAATATTGATTGCTGATGATGTTTCACCAAAATATGTGTACCAGGGGCGTATCTTGTCCATCACTTCCGCCGTTGATAGACAATCAGCAAATAAATTAGCTGAACGAAATGCGCTCAAGAGAAAAGAGGCTCTAGGTAAAGCTCCCTCCGAAAAGGATAAACGGAACTTGTTTTTGCTTAATGAAGGTCGAATCACTGAAAACTCCAAACTAGCCCAGTTTATCACAAAGACCGATTTGGAATTGAGAGAGAAATCGTACAAGTTACGTGTACAGCAATTGAACAAGAATCCAACATTGCACTTATCATTGACAAGATTGGCAATTCGTAACTTGCCTCGAGCCATGAACTCGAAATCATTAAAGGCCTTGGGAAGGAAAGCAGTGGTCCAGTTTGCTACTGAAGTGAAACAGGGCCAACGACAACCATTGTCCAAAGAGGAGGTTTCACGATCAGTTAAAACTAAAAAGGAGCTACAAGAGGAAATTGAAACCAAATCAAAGAATTCCAAACACAAGGGTGTAGTCAAGCAAGCAAAAGTGATTATGGAAGTCAAAGGCTCTGGTGAAGCTGGGCGTAGTAGAGGATATGGGTTTATTGAGTTTAGGGACCACAAAGCTGCATTGCAAGGATTGAGATGGTTGAATGCACATGAGGTATCGATTGATGAAATTACTGAAGGGATGACTGACGAAGAGAAAAAAGTGGCCAAGTTGGATGGGGTGAGTAAGAGAAGATTGATTGTTGAATTTGCTGTTGAGAATGCACAAGTTGTCAAGAGAAGAAGAGAAAAGGAGATGATTAGTAGGAAATTTGACATTGAAGGAGCATCTAATAAAAAGAGAAAGCGTGGTGAAGACGAGGAGGAAGATGCAGGTGATTCTAAGAAGCAGCGTAAAGGGCACAAGGGTTCACTGAAGAAAGGTAACATGAATAAAGGTAACAAAAGCCAAGCGCTGGATTCCAAAGAGCCCAAGAACAAGTCTGGTCTTTCTGATAATATTAAGTCGATCATTGGACAAAAGAGGAGAAGAAGAAAGGGGAAAAAGTAAAAGAGGGGAGAAAGTAAAAGAGGGGAGAAAGTAAAAGAGGGGAGAAAGGGGGGGTGGGGTGAGAGAGAGAGAGAGAGAGAGTAAGTAAAGCATGCCAAAGAAGTAAGATATCATTATTTCATTATATAAAAAAAATTAAAGTCTATAGTAGAGTCAAATCGTCGTCAATCATCATTATCAAGGTAAGTCTTCCACCCTCTATTATCCTCTCTCTCCTCTCACAAAAAATAATCACTTCGTTGTTGCTTATTATTATTATTCTTCAAAGTCAAATCACCATCTTGTACAGCGCTGAATATCTTGAAATTTGGTTCCAAATCTTCATCAATCTGCATCACACTGGCAACATTACCACATCTATAGCAATAATTTGGCGCCGACCATACAGTAACCACATCCTTCTCCTTGAAATGATAGCGGAACCCTTCCATCACCAATTGATGGGCTCTTGCAATCAACTGCAAGTTATTTATATGATTGAACTCGCGTGAGACTTTTGATCCAAATAACCAACCTGCCCCACGCGGTGACACTGCCCACGTATCAACATTATCAGGGTCTGACCATACCAAATCACAAAATCCACCTTCGTGGGGCACTTCTTGAGCACGCGACAAGACTCTGATTTGGTCCAACATTCTAATCTCGGGTGATAATCCACCGTGCACGCATAGTATTTTGCCATCGATTATGGCGGCCAATGTCAAGAAATCAAACACTTGACAACAATATTTCCAGACTGTGGTGGATCCATACTTGGTTAAACATTCTTCATAGAATCCATAAACCTGAGTGATTTGTCTTGTTTCATGATTACCTCTAACCATAGTTATACGATGTGGGTACTTTACTTTTAAAACCATGAGTAAAGAAAATGTTTCCAATGAGAAGTAACCACGATCAACGTAATCTCCAAGGAAGACGTAGTTTGTCTGATTGTCATCACTGGGCAATCCACCGGAAATGCGGAAAAGTTCCAATAAATCGTGAAACTGTCCATGGATGTCACCACACACAGTGACTGGAGATTGGACTGGTTGAATGTTGGATTCCTCCATGAGTAGTTCCTTGACTAGCTCACATAGCTGTTTCATGTCTGATTCGGATAAAGCAACACAGTTTTTGATCTGTTCAAGCCATTGATCTGGACCTCGTTCACTCATCTTTAAGTAGTTCGCCTTAGTGAGTTTTTGTAAAATGTTCTATTCTGGGTGGAAGAAAGACTGAAGGTGTGTTTGAATATGTAATATCTCGCTATCCTGTGGCGTTGTTTGAGACGGTTAAATAGATGACAAGTATAGTTGACACTGATTATTAATTTTGTTGTCGGTTGATGAAGAAGTTCTAGAAAAAGAAATAAGAAAAGACATCCAAACTGCAGTACATATACACATCACCCTTGAGGTGAAATTTTTTTTGTTTTTTTTGTTTTTTTTTCATTTTTCACTCACAATTGACCCAAACATTGGACCCCTAGAGATACACACATTGCCTGTTGATAATACACAGTATGATACTGCAAAGAGCTATGGCTGGTAAATCCATAGCCCATACCACCCGTTTCCTAGGGACAACCACACGCAAATTAGCCGCCGACTCAGCAAGCACATCATCTGAATCAACTCCCAACTCAACAACCAATTTCGAGCAATTCAAGAGCAAACAGTCATGGAGAGAATCATACGCACCAGGATCATCAGCGCAAGCTGATTTAACTGAAAACTTGTCGAAAATCACTCAAAATATAGCCAGTGGAGAACCACCAATACATATAGCTCAATCTTTACAAAAAAAATTTAGAGTGGGAACCACTTACAACCCATTCGATTTCAGCATGAATAGGTTGAGAATGGATAGGAAACAAGTACAAGCCCAACAACGTAAATTGGAAGATCCATTTGATCGTAGTGGAATTGATCCGAGAAACTTGTACTTGATGCCAGAAGTGTTGTCACAGTTCCTAACTTCCACAGGGCAGATTTTACCGAGACAGACTACGGGGTGTAGTGCTGCTAATCAAAAGAAATTGACTGCAGCTATCAAGACCGCTAGGAATTTGGGATTATTGTCAACTGTCCATAAACATTATCGTTTCTTGCCATCCAGAAATTTATAAGAAAATAAAAATTGCGGCAAGTATCTGGAGAAGGGTCTTTGTGGGATGTCCGTGTATATATAGTATAGTGAATGAAGAGAGTGGTTGTAAAATTCTTTGCAGAGCTGGTAGGAATTGTGGTGGTGTAGTGTGACCAATTGGAGTGCAATATATATTTATATATATATGTATTGGTAACTCGTACACTACCTAGAAAATCATCTGAGTTGCGAACAATAAAGTTGCCTCGAGAAAAAGGATCAGTGACAATTATTGCCACTTCTCTTCCCATTACACATCAAACCCCAATTTCAAAATGTTATCTAGAGTTATCAAATCATCATCAACATCTGCTACCGCTGCTGCTGCTGCAACTAGACATTTCTCCACTTCCAGAGCTGCATGGATCGAATCAGGCAAAAACATTGGCCAGGATTCATTCCATGAAAAGGAAAGAGCTCAAGAAAATGTTTACATCAAAAAGCAAGAGGAAGCTCAATTGAAGAAATTAAGACAACAATTAGAAGATCAAAAGAAGACAATTGAAGGTTTGGAACAAGAATTGAAGAATCATAAAGAAAAGAAATAAATTGTGAATAGTCTCAATTGATAGCTTTCTACTCAAATACAGTCTTTTTATTTTTGTTTCATACCAGTGCGACATAAATTTTCATACTAAGACGACATAAATTTTCAAACCATGTTATTACCCAAAATAATTTCCACACCTCTGACCAAATTGAGCCCGATTCTGCGGAATTGGGGCATTTAGATTACAAGTATGACATAATATCAAACCAATTTTTTTTGTTTGAGTTTAGTCACTTTCTACTGTCCTCTCTTGAACGCTTTTGCAGTTATTGTCCCAAGCCAAAAGCTGACTCCTTCCCATTTCCAAGGGTCCATAGTTTAGAAAGACCTCTTTTCTAAACATTATGGTATAAAGCTACTAGCATGTTTACAGAAACCTTGATAGCTTTCTAAGGCTATCTTTGCTGTTGCTTCTCTTACCCTTGGAGTTAATTGTTCTTTTGAACGACAATGGTGTTGTGGAGTGATACTCATATGGATGAATTTGAATAGTTGGAAAGAAGTGAATTGCCAATGGGGCCAGTCTGACAATCTTTTCATCGGTAGATCGAATTTACAAAGTGGTATTCAATTCAAACGCTATTGTAAGGTCGAGAGCTCAAGAAATGGTCATCATTTAAAGACATGCTAAAATTCTTGGGCACGCGTCGTCAACCGCATAATAACATATCAACACTGTTTAATGAAGGAGTGCCTTGCACCTGAGTCGTCAAGAGATTAATAGCAAATGCATTATTAGCAAGGTATGAAAATACTATACATAAAAGTAATCTTTCATGCGACACTCTCTCACACATTCTGCCTTACCACTGCCTTTTTGAGACACTCATACTGATCCCAGTCCAATGGCTTCGGCTCAAAATCCTGCAACTTGAGGAATAAGTAGGTTAAACCACTTACATCACCTTCACGGTAGTTATAATTGTTAATTTCAAACACTGGAATAACACCTAGAACGGTTGTCTTTAATTCTTTGAGCCTAAATTGTATAATAGCTGATGTAGTCACAATGAAGCAGGTGTCCGTTTTAGTTCCAACCATGCAACCCAGAACTTGGGTCATTACCGCTGAATGGGGACTTTTTACCATCCTTGTAAAAGTCGTTGAGGGGTTCCATTTTATACTCAATAAATGATTTCTTATCTCCCGATTGGATTTGGAGATCTGTCCTGAGATAATGACCATCCACAGTTTCCAATTTTACTTCAGGTGTGAATATCCAGCCGGACATTCTCAACAAAGGGGCCAAGTACGTGTTGATGACGTAACTCACAAAGGACGATTCCAACTGAATGGGAAAATCCACAACGGGAACTTGAAGACATTGACAATCGCGATCTGTGTGGAATTTTTTCAATTTGACGTTGTTGAAGCTCAACCCTGAGTAAGTAATTATCCTTGAAGAAACAACACACTTATCATTGTCTAACTTGCTATAGACGTCGGTATTTGGAGCTGACGATCTGAAAGTGCCCTCAATGTGTTGAAGGCCAAATCCAAAAATGGAAAACAACTTACCGGTCAATAAGTTTTGGGGAAACTTGTAAAAAGGAACCTTTTCTTCGATATCGTCTAAGGCTTGCCATTCGCTATCCATGTGAGCGTAAAATGCCCTTAGGTATACATTGATAGTTTCCAGAAGTTGCGGTGATACCTCCTCTTCAATTTTTTCTTCCCACTGGAAGAGCTTGCTGGTGATTCTAACAATCTTTTTGAATAACTTTATCTCTTCGTCAGTTAAACGTTTCATTTCTAATCTCCAAGCCAGTGATATAAGTTCATCTAAATCCTCCGCTTCTCTAATTTGTAATTTATTGATATCCTCCTGTAATGATCCAAATTTGACATCTGAGTCTGGTCCAATAAAGCTCGAACTGCTTTTCTTTGCAATCTCCGAGGTGAAAATGGAGATATTCATGGCATCGAACAACCTTGCTCTAGAGGAGGGCATTATAGTATTACTTGGGTGGTTTCATTGATCCACACAATAAGGTAAAATTCTCCTTGTTTATTCTTCACGAGGGCAAGTCCACAGCTGAATACGTAGTTTTTTGTTATGTCGAAAAACTGTTCGTAAACAATTTCGCAGCCAATACGCACGCTACCTCTCAGAGTTTTTATCTTCACTGTAGGCTCGCTCACAATCTCATTTCAAATACAATACCTGAAACTAGTTGACTCTTAAATCGTTGGTGATCTAAATCGACTACGCCGGACTTGGTATAAGCTGATTGAAGAAATTGGAGTTGTACGCTGAGTACAATCGAAGTTCTCCATTAATTGTTTTCCCAATGTTGTCACAGTTTACAGATAGCTCCCTCCCATATCAAGCAACATAATCTTTCGGTAATGGAAATCTTTTCTGAATGCTCTCGTACTGTCTAAACAATCTATCTCGAGGTAATATGAAATTCTTTCTTTCTCGGCAGCATTTGGCAAAGATTTGATACAATTCCCACTGCGTATAATACGCTTTGGGTGTAGAAAATTCCTCGTGTTTCGCGTCCTTTTTTATACTCATCAACCATTCATCAAGGCCAGTCTGGTCAATGTATAACAAATGAACTCCCACAATTCCATGAGGTACTCTAGGGCTCATCATGATTATTTTCTCACTATCTTCATCCTGACATTCTAGTTCCCAGTAGAACCACAAATTTATGCTTGCTACTGGGAACGGGGATGATAAACTGCACATTGTCTTGATAGGCACCTGCCTTGGTGAGCCATAACAAACAGTGAGCATTTCCAACGTCTTGTGTTTGTAGTTTAACAAGTCATTGGCGTAGCTATCCTTTTCGTTTGTTTTTCTATACTGTAAGCAAAGCAGAAATAATCGTGGGTATTTCGTATCCAATTCAAGTACCGAGAAAAATCTATTCAACGGAGAAGACACCACTAGTGTCAATTCTTGAAGGTTTTCCGTATTGAAAACTTCATCAACAATGAAATTGTTTGGCATCCGTAATCGCTTGATCGATAATTTCCTCAATTTCATATTCGTAAACACATTTGAATAATTGACACACTGATCGAAATCCATCAACAACGTAGTTATGTTCGATAACTGACTGGCCAAATTAATTACACTTTGACGTGTTCCGAGAGGTAAATAAAACCAAGTTCTTTCTTCCTCTGGTTGAACTAGTTTCCTTCTTGGTCTTCGAATGTACTGGTTGAAAATAAATATTGTCTTCAATTTACAAGCTCGAATGTAACCTGGTATAGCGTCGCAAAAATCAACATCTGAATTTTCCACCCAATAAAAGAACCGCCTCAGAATAACTTTTAAATACTTGATTGAATGAAAATGCCTTAAAATACAATCAATAAGTACTAAATGACCTTCATAAAGCTCAAAAATCCGAATAAATTGATCAGAATCCATCTGCCACATATATCTCTCTAGTGTTTTCAATGATATAATTGTAAATTGGTTACTCTTGAAGTTATTTATATCTTTATGGTATTGGAATCTGTGTCTGAGAATATCCTCGCGAGCACCAAACCATTGCTCCAGTAAGAATGAAAGCGTGTTATATACATAAATGTTTCGGTATAGCTTGATTTTTGTTACTTGGTAGAAACTGGAATGCATTGGAGCAAGCACCAATGCTTGGTGTTGGTTAATATGGTTGAAGATATTTTGCAAGACTGTGAAAGGTAAACTAGACAAAGACATTGTGTGGTGTAGCATGAAACCAATGAATGAAAAGAAGATCCGATCACTTTTGATTACTTTATAGTGGCTCGGGGAACAAAGTCGATATCCCAATGCGAGAGAGTCTTGCACTTTCCTCAAAATAGTTACTGTGGTTACTCTGAGTGTGCGGACAAGTATCCCCAGCAGAGAGAGCTGAGTTGCATATTGTTTCACATGAGCTAAAAGGCAGTCAATTCGTCATTCTCAATCAACCATTTGCGTTGCTGCAATTAAAGCGTACATCCCCTCGGTACTCACAACTAATGAGGTGAAAATTTCCTTGTGGGTTGAGCAAATCCATCTGCTACTCCCGCTGCAATTGATCCATCCAGCACCCATGAAAAAAACAAACAAGTTGTCTTCACCACTTGGCGAAACCAAAGCAGGACTCGATTTGGATTTTTCAAACATGTTTGAATTTGGCTTTCTATCTTTTGGTTGATAAGCAACGGCAACATTGTAGTTGGAAAACGTTGTCAATGCACTGTCATAATTTAGTGAGGCTGTGCTAGTTGTAGCTGGTGGGAAGTCTCTAGACATTTTTAGAATAGGACTATGATGCGGCTCAAACAAACCTGCTGCAACAACACCCGAGTCAATAATTTGTAAATGAACGAAGTTCCTCCTCTGCGTTTATTTCTGCTTAAAAACGGAGTCACGCAGCTCTCGAATACGGGAGATTGTGTTTTGGTGCGTTTGTGGTTGGTACGTGACTTGCAACTTCGCCTTCCTTTCCAAAGCAATTACGAAGCTCAGTCCATGTTACAATGCATACTTGCTATGATTTTAAAAAGGTATTCTGTTGTTTTTTTTTTTGCACCCAAATTACACCAAATAATTACACACACATTATACATTGAAAAGGCTTAAATCTTGGTAGACACAAGAAGGCAGGAAAAAGGCAGAGACGCCGATAGAAGAAGATGCGCTCTTTTTTAAAACAAGAGCACAGGCCACAACACAACAACAGTTTCTCCTCTCTGCAAATTAGATCACCCACACTTTGGTTTTCTTTCTTTTCTGTTTTTTTCTTTCTTTCTATTTTTTTGCTATTTAGTTTTTAATGGTGAAAATGCAATGAGGGGGAGTGTGAAAGAATGATCTCACATGAGAATTCAGGTGAAAAGGTATGGGATAAGCAGAAATTTTAAGAAAAGGGCCAAAACAAAAAGAAAAAGAAATGAGAAGAAAAGATTACGGTCTTTGTTAAACGGAGTTTGCCTGCATCTTTTCTTCTGTGCACAAAGAAAAAGAAATCACAACAGCAAGTTGTCGTGTCTCATACAGCCTCTATACATATATATATTGTCTTTACTTTCTCCTCATTTGGGACTTTCATCATCGCCAACTACACAACTGATTACTATCAATACTCAATAATCTGCTCAAAGAGACTGGTTTAAAAGCAGTACCTGATTTGTATCCTGCATATACTGCTTATTTCCTAAAACAGATAAGTTATATTTTACAGATCCATACACACATACTACACTTTGCATTCAAGAGCCGTTTGTATCATCTGCAGTACTAAACGGCTTCTGTTTTCTTGTTCTTTTTCTTCTTCTTTGAACACAGCTAAGAAAAGAGTAACAACCAAACAACTGCATAAGGTGCAACACACGCAACACACCGTCAGCAGAGGAAATTCAGTACTCACTCAGTACTCACTCAGTCCCACTCAGCGCCCTCGACCAACCAGTTTACCAGCACTTTTGCTAGACAACCTCGAACTTTGAAAGACCACATAAAATAAAGAGTGGATAACCGCCTAACTAATCCAGCATGGTGCTCAATATCTTTCAAAGGAGAGAAGAAGAAGCTGCTGCTGCCAGCGCAAGGCATGAGGAGTTACAAAAGTCGATTAATGCCAACCGCCGGCAACAGCAACAACCTAGATCACAAATGCCTGTTGCATCTAATACATTGCTACCATCCCCCCAGCTACAAAAGCAACCATTACCAAAACAAGGAAATGATTCTGCTGCTGCTGCTGCTTCTTCTTCTTCTTCTTCGTTTCCAACAAATGCAAGCAAAAGAAGAACCTACATCTCGCATCGTATAAATCTTCCAATAGCTAATAAAAGTGGTTCTCAAAGCCCACGAGCAAGGAGCAAAACCCAGATCCCTACCATCTCGGAAACTGCTACCACCAAGAGTGGTTCCTCGAGTCCACAAAAACCCGAAGAGTTGAGCGAATTTGAAGATGAAAACAAGCCTAGCAGTCGACACACAACAGTGACTGGCACTCCCACACTCCAGTTATCCGACTCTACTGCCCAAGCCAATCTTAAAAGAGGTGCATCGCCGAAGGAATCTGAAGTTGCTAAAAAGACACAAATCAGTAACGAAGTTCTCAATCAACGTCGAGCTCGTAGAATGAGAGCACGATCCAAACCCAGTGCAACAAAGGCTGTCACTAGAAGACAACTTGAAAAACGTAACTCCGTTGCATCGAGGGAATCAAAAGAATCAAGAGAGAAAATTGGATCCGAGGAACAGCTGGAGCCACTGGGATTGCAAAATAAGTCCCCTGCCAGTAGGCAGTCTCCCGAATTGACCAAGCTGCAACAACAAATGAGGGCAATGATTGAGCAACAACAGAAAAGATATAACATGCATTCAGGTCGACCCATTAATAATCAAAGTATAGCATCTAAACCTAGATATACCTTACCATATCCTGTTTCAGATGACATTATAAGTATCATAATCACAGACGAAACAGACGAGACAGAAGAGGGCTGCCCACAGCAACATTCCATTACTGAAGAGCCACATACTGGCAACCGTCAACTGCAATTCAAGAATGAAGAGGGATCAGCAATTCCTCTGGAATTTGAACCTATACATTCTCGGAGTTTTCATATCGGAAATATACCAAGGAACTACACATATTCGCCAGAAAGCCCAGCATTGCAATCAGCAGTACAATCGAGGACCTATTCTCCACGTGAATCTTCAAGGACCTCCTTCACCCCAACAACTCTGCACGATGGCAGATTTGAAGTCCACAATGATACACTACAGCGGCTAACAGGTGAACTGGAGTCATCGATTCATAACACATTGCACTCACACTCCTCACCTATGCAACCAACTTCTTCAGAACAATCTACGTACCACATGGCTTCGGAGGAATTTGCGATCAGCGCTACAGATGCGGTGGCTTGTATATTGGAGAGAACCGGAAGTAATGCGCGAGGAAGTAGGCGTGGTCAACGGTACGAGGAAATAAGAAGGAAACAACGCTCGCAACGAAGTCAGACCAGATCTAATCCGGAAGGAACAATTCCGGAAGAGCCAAGTAACCAAGACACTGCTCAAACCAGTTCAATCCCCATTGAAAACCCACCGCTTAGAAGCAGTTCTTCTACCCCTACTGACATAAATTCCCAACTCCAACGTCACTCATCTTTATCTCGGCGCTCAACAATTGAAGATACCAGAGCTCGAATAATTGCTCGCTTGAATCAACGTGTAGATCCCACGATGTACCCAATGGAAGCATCTACTGGTAGTCCTCATTTGCGCAGCAGTAATGCGGAAGAAGTACAAGAAGAAGCACCGCCGCCATTGGATGAGTACGCCGATCTACATGACGAACCGCCTTCGACGCCACCATATCGAGAACGACTTCACAAAAAAGTCGACTTGATCTCGTTTGACCCTCGTTATGTAACTCCCGTGTTGCGAATCAATAAGAGATTGATCAAAACACCAACCAATTTACGCAAAACCATCCGCAAATTGATTCAACTTCAAATCGTGCCGGAAGAGATTGATTTGTGGAAAATTGATCGAATTGAAGATGCTCGGTTCTACCATGTATTGCCCCAGTTGTTGAATGGTGAAGATGCACAGAACGAGGTAAGAGCCATGAATGACGCCGTGCGAGTGGCTCATGAACGCACTGAATTGGAATACGAACTGGAGATACAGCGAGCTATTGCCATTTCTTTGGAGGAGCAAACTCAACGACAGTTGTTTCATGGGTTTAGGTATAATGGCCCTTCGAGGAATAGAGGACAAGATTGTGGAGAGGCAACAACAGAAGAAACAGGGGAAGAATCGAGGAATGATAGTCCTGTATCTGGTGAGGAGCCTAGTGATGCCAGTGATGTTTTCATTAATGTTGATGAAGCGATGAGAATTTGGCAACAGCAAGAAGGACAAGGTGACGACCATCATTTGCAACCGCATGTTATGCCCGGCTCGTTCAATTATTTGTTGCCAGCTCGAACAAACTCGTCAGTCTCTTCATACATGACAGCTGCTTAATTTGCGATATATTGCAACATTAGATTCTACTGTTTCTGTTTTAATAATTCGTTTTCATTTTCAATTCATATAAAGTTATAGGAGAACACTTCTTGTATGTAACATATAGAGCCTTTAATTTACTTGACCAGTCAAGTCACTCAAGCTGTGATTCAATCCAAAGCTCCGCTTCATCCGCAAGACATTACCCTGTTCATTATCCACAATTTTTTGCGACATTTTTGACATTGGCATCGACAAAGAGGGCCGTCTGATTATTGTTCCATACTGTCTCAACTCATCCAATCCAGCTGCATTTGTACCGAGCTGCACACCTGAGCCAATACTGTGTACACTTTTCTGCGTCTTGATTGACCCCAAAGCCGATTTGCTCAACTGACTAACGGAATCAGAATACAGCATGGCATTTTCTTCTTCTTCTTCTTCTTCTTCTTCTGTTTCTTGCTGGTCTTCTTCATCTCCCGATGAATGATACTCTAACATTTCAGCGAGCATTGATCTTCGATTGAGTACTGTGGTTGTAAATTCTTGATCTTGTGGATCAATCAAGACGTCACCATGCTCATTTGTCATGGACGTTGTTGTGGAAAAGGTGGTGGTTGAGATTATGTCATCTTGGGAATAGACTGACGACGATGAACCAGCATCATTTGCCTCTATTGCAGGTTCACCAGTAGAAGTGGTGGTGGTAGTGGAGGAGTCAGGCATGTCTATCAAGGTGCTGCCCACCTCAGTTCTCTTCATAGCATGCTTAGTTGAGGATAAGACTGAACCGTTTCTTGATGCAATACCCTTTTTCACAGTTGCCACTGACCTAATCTCATCTTCATAAACATCACTACGATTATCTCCCACATGGCCTTCCCCAAATTCAGCATCGCGTCGAGCACGTTCGAAAATCAAGTTAATGATATCACTAGTCTCCTTCGTCACCAAGTACTGCTCAAACTGACTAATTTCTTGTCGCAACTGGATTCGATTGCAAACAACACGCAAGAGAAAGCTTCTCCATAATTGTGCAATTTTCTCCCTTTCAAAAGCCTCATCCTCGTCTTTACCTGCCTGGGTAACATCTTGCAACTGCACTGTTTTGATGAAACTGGTGTCTAAATGTGGTGGGGGCACGGGTGGCGGTGCTTGGCTTGTGGTGACTGAAACTGAAGAGTTTGCGGTGCCCCAAGATGCACGATGATCAATTTCGCTAGTGCCGATCTGAGGCGATGGAAACTCTTCAACGTCCCTGGCTCTTAGCAATTGCAAATTTCCCACCCTTCCTTCGCCACCACTCCCCCCTGCTCTTTTGATATCTGCACCTTCTTGCTTCTCCTCTTCTTCTAGTATCATGTCTCTTGGCCCCTTCACTCCACCAAACTGGCCCTGACGTTGTTTCATCTCTGAGTGATACAAGTACCTTGATTCCTGTTGGTTAATGTAATTAGACAAATGGGTGTATTTTCCAGTACGCTCATCGGCAATTTCTTCAGGCGTGAGTAGTTGTCTATTTGTCATTTGCAAAGAGCTGTCTCCTTCTTGATCCTCTTGTTGCTGTTGTGATGGCAGTGACAAAAGCCCAGCACCAGCATACCGTTTCAATTCATCGCTCATTGGAACACGTTCAGTCATACCGGTCTTGCCCAATTGCGGATTATTCACAGGCGACGAGATTTGCAACTTGCCAACACTTCTTTTCTGCTGTTGTGGTTGAGTACCAAATGAATGAGCCGGTGGGGCCCTTATCGATGCCAATCTTTTCAAATCCTGGTTGTGTGGGTTCTCTCTCACTTTACGAACCAATGACTTTGACTTCTTGACATCAATTGGATTCGAGACATGTTGCCTTGATATCCCTTGACCCCTTGCTCTCCGCATACTAACTTGTCTCTTCTTGGATGATGATGCTTTAAAATTGTAGAACTTAAACTTGTTCAAAAATTGACGTATTTTCAATTGTAAGCGATACCACCAACTTCCCTCCTTGGTTTTTATGGCATTGTGTCTGGTTAAACTTGTACTTGATCGGATCGAGGAGGTAGTCGCAGTTCCAGTTCCAGTACCAGTGCCAGTTCTAGTGCCAGTTCTAGTGCCAGTTCTAGTGCCAGCACGAGATCCATTGCCCCTTAGAATCCCTGAACTAGTACCAACTCTACCCATCGTGTTTCTTGTTTGATTGCTATTCATGAGTAAAGACGAAGTGATAGATGAAGTGGGACTCTTGTACAATCTTACAGTGCTGGTACGATTGACGGCTTTCAGTCTTGTACTCGTATTCTTGTTCATTTTGTTCTTGTTGAATAAAGACCTAGTCTTGCTCAACCCCGTGTTGAGTTTGCTACCCACTCGACGATTGACCAATAACGCTTCCGGTTCTTGTCTAGTTGAGAATATAGTAGCTTGCGAGCCCATTGATTCCGATATGTCGTCTCTGGTTGACAATGTGTGAGATTGGTTTGCACTGTGATCCAAGCTAGTATTGTTAAAAGAAGCAGTGTTGAGGTTTGTAACCCCATGTTCATTGACGTTTCCATCCCCTTGCACTTCTCCTTCACCCCCATGATCAGATTTCAAACTAGATGAAATCATGGATAAATTGTCCAAACGCTGTGAGATGTGTGGGTTTTGCTGATCAATAATAAACTGAGAAAACCGTTTGGGAACTTGATTGAACCCATCATCATAACCGTCAATAGGATGCAACGGTACACCATCGTTGTGACCAGCTCCTCTGGATCCTGATCCTGATCCTGAACTGCTTTGTTGTTGACGTTTATCGGGGCTCGCATTTGGTGTAAACTTCTTCTTTCCACCTTGACTTTGGCCATTGGAACTAGGTGAGACCAACATATCATCCAAGTTGTAATATGGGTACTGGCCAATTGCCATTGCACTGAAGGAGTCACTGGATGTTGATTCAACTTCGAGTCGCTTTAGCGAATCTTGTGTCACTTCATGTGGTTGTTGAAGAAGTATATCTGTTGACCTAGAATGCAGATGACTCAGCAGATGATCCAGTGGGATAGTGGAGTTATGGTGGTTGATATGTTGTCTTGATTGTGATAATGTGGATTCAGAGTCATGCGTGAATGGGTTTTGTACAGCGTGATCAAACGACTGGCTTCTCTTGAGAGATGAACTCTGAAGCATTGACATAATTATATGAGCAGCTCTATGGAATGTGATTCTAGTATGCACACTGAGCCAAGTAATGATAGATTAGATTGAGCGGATTGTGATAAAAATCTCCAACTCAAATGAAATCAGAAAAACCGGTGATGAAAAGGATGAATCAAATCAGGTATATCATTTGTTTTTTTGATCCCATTGTTTTTACATCACATCACCCTACTCATCAATATGTATCTGATATTCGATTTAGTGTTTCATTTGATTCTTCGTATACATCAATGGGGGAGAAAAAGATGGCTGGCTGAGAGAAAAAAAAAAAAAAAAAAGGGAAAATAAAGTTGCAAATTGCACCACAAAATCAAAGAACGCAACAACCAGCATCATTGCTCAAGAGCTAAACTCACCACTCCCTTACAAGCCAACTTGGTTGACTGTAGAAATCCCCAACCACATCTTACTGAGCACTACTTCCTCTACCCGTAGGCACATACAGATGTACTAACAAAACAACAACGGAACACATATATATATATATATAAAACTAGGAACTACTCCATTTTTGACTCTTTCCCCATTCTAAACTTTTTTATCTCAAATCTAATATAGTCCTCTTAGACATTCTCCACCACTGCTTAGACTTTTGATGGAGCCAAACCGACTGCATTCTTCTTCAAATCATAGATTGAATAGTATTTTCTCAAAAATGCATCACCAATAATGGCCAAATCACCAATCGGTTTAGGGAAATCCATTGGCGTGAATACTGAAATACATGAGCCACCAACTTCCAAAATATAATCATAGGCAGTTAAAGTGAAATTGTATCCAGAAAAGGTCAATGTCAAATCAGGCAATTCATCTCTCTTGGCACAATCAACTTGATATTGGCCAGACCAGGATTTGGTGGCACCAATCTTGGCATTGATGATTTCAGCTAAAGTCGAAGGCAAGGTAATCAAAGAAGTACCTGTATCAATAGCAGCACCGGTCTTGATCAATTCAGCGTATTCGTCTCCCAATCCAATACCTTCAAATGAAACTTCCCAATAAGCCTTTCTTCTAACTGGTAACCAAGTAACTTTACCTTGGAAAAGTGATTCATCATATCCGCCAAATGTAGCAACGCCACCGTCGTTTTCATCCTTGTTTGTGTCTCCTAAATAGAACCCAAACTGTGGGGAGTCAAGTAAACCTTGGTTAATGGCATTGTAAATTGGTGGGACAATCCTGTTTACGGAGATTGTATCATAAGCCAAACCCAAGATACCATCAAATTTACCAAATGCAAATGCCAAACCTGGTTCTGAGGTAGCTTCAGCAAAATCTTGTTTAGGGATAACCAAGTCTCCAATACTAACAGTATCTTGAGAAATGTAACCCTCCATTGAACCTGAACCATATTGAATCTCAAACTCTGATCCATTAGCTTTGTAAGTAGAAGAAGCATCATGGTCGTATTTCGAATGCAAAAAGCAAGCCAATGAGGAACAGTCTTGAGATGGAACCCATAAGTTGGAGGAACCAGTATCCAAAATCACTTTAAAACTTTGGCCGGGAGTACCAATTTGAATCTCAGTAAAGTACTGCGCATTCAAGTAGTTGGTCAATGGTGCTTCGTATTTACCTCCTTTACTTTCAGGAGTAACAAATGGAATATCAGCTGGGTGCTGTTTTCTGTGGCCGCCTCCTGACAAAATTTGTTGAGCACCAAACGCTTGTGGGTTACCATTGGCTTTATTGAACAAGTTTACATACTTGTTGGCCAATGCATTAGTGTAATCTTGGAATTTAGCAGCGTCCAATGTCTCCTCGTTGGACAACTTGTTCAACTTGATTGAGTGGGTCTTGGCGTCAACTGGGTTAGTAACGAACGCCAAAAGGGTAGTGGCGACAGTTGTCAATACAGATAAGGATAATTGCATTGTTTGTAAAAGCTCTTGTCAGGGGGAGGAGAAGGGGCTGCTGGCTGTTAGTGTCGGTGGCGAAAATAGCAGTTGTAATTGTATAGCAAAAAGAAGGAGTTGTTAATTGGTATTGATTTTGATAATGGGGGGGACGGAGGGGGGATCTACCTGTTCTGTTCTTATTCAGTCAAAGTTCGAGATGAGATGACGACGATGACGGGTGTATGAAAGGAATTGCTAGGAAGAAGAAAGATTTAAGGAAAGTGTGGGTGAGTTACAGATTTATTATTTTGTTATGTGAGGTTGTATCCCAGATATTGGTAGCATCAAAACTATGTGTCTCCAACAGTTGAATGAATGACTGATAACAGAAGGAGTAGCAAGTATTACTTATTATGTAATGTAACATGGAATGATTACATAATACACACCATCCCAAAAAGGACATTTAATGAACTTATTGGGATATGCTACCATGTATACACTAAGTACACACTACCTCATTTACCGAAGACATATGGACACCATTTCTTCTTGTCTTGATTGATTAAACCTGCTCCTGAGAGATAGTGGAAAAATGCGCTAGTGTTTAGTTGACAAGCAAATACGTTCTCCACGCATACTGATGCGCTGATAACGCCAATCAGTGCTTCCCCCGTTTAAAATGTCTTGTGGTTGCAACAGATTGGATAAGCAGGTGCAACGTCTCTCAGATGCAGGCATCGACTACACACATCACTTTGCCAGATGTAATCTAAGAGACGCATTTCTACATCCTATCTCGCCAAAGAAAGACACGGAATGCTTCTATATTTAGTTGTTCCTCGGCTAATTTCGGTACAAGAAAAAAAAATAAAGATAAAAATAAAACAAAATTCGGAAATCTCATCAAATGGGACAATAATGAGGGCTTCAAATATAAGAAGAGCAACATTTCCAAAACTCTCTTTCGCCTCAGTAGGCGAGGAACATATACTGCTAGAATAACCAGACTGAAGTAAGAGAGATGTACGGTTCCGGCTTTTTCTTATCTAGGGTGGAGAATCATCTCGCTAGAAAGCCAATCAGATTTACCAAGAGACAACAGCAACAACAGCAACAACAGCAGCAACAGCAGCAACAGGACAGTACGTCCACAGCTTCTACAAATGAAACTGCATCCACTTTGGAGTCTTCTTCAACTACTACTGTACCAGATATCCTCAAAGACAAGATTGCTGAATTTGCGCCAGGATATTCATTTTATATCAATCCTGTTTTATCATCTGGACATACTCAAACGGCATACGCGGCCATTCCCAAATTTGAAAAGGTTCATCAAATTTACTACAAGAGGCAAATTTTAACCATTGAAGATAAACCATACACCTTACCTACTGGTGAGAAATTAAAGTATGACCAATGGGAAGGATTATCAACCGTTGCGATAGATTATGCATTTAATGAAGCTAATTTCCAACACGATGCAAATCATTTACAGTATAAACCAGTGAACCAAAGCGATAAACTACCACCCAGAACTGAGTTTAAGAATCCCGAACAAGAATTCATTACTGATTCAGATGAAAAGCCTTTGGTTATCGTGTTACATGGATTATCAGGTGGATCCTACGAGGCTTATGTTCGAGCAGTTTTGGAGCAAGCAGTTGAAGATCCATACGACTTCGATGCCATAGTGTTGAATTCACGTGGATGTGCATGGCACACAATAACCAGTCCTCAATTATACAATGGGTTATGGACCAATGATTTGCGTTATTTGATCAACGAGTTTGTGCTCAAGAAATGGCCCCATAAGCGTATTTACTTGATGGGGTTCTCCTTGGGTGGTGCTATAATTGCCAATTACTTGGGTCAAGAAGCTGATGCGGTTGCACCACAAATTAAAGGATCGGCGTTATTTGGAACCCCATGGGATTTCCCTGATTCTGCATATCATTTGAGAGAAAGTATAATTGGAAATCAGGTTTATTCACCAACAATGTGTCAAAACTTGGTCAAGTTGTTGCAACGTCAAGGTGAATTAATGAGTCAGTCACACGAAGTGGTTAAGCAATACAAGTCGGATCCCACCAAATTTCAATTGAAGTTTTTAGATGATTTTGATGATTATTTTACAAGCCGATTATTTGGTTTGAATTCAGCTAGTGAGTATTACCGCTTGGCTTCACCAATACAACGATTGATGAAGGTTAGAGTCCCCACTTTGATTGTAAGCTCTAAGGACGACCCTGTGACTGGATCTAGATCCTTACCTTATTCAGAGATCAAGTTGAATCCGTATTTGACCATGGTTAGTACAACCGTTGGAGGACATTTGGGATGGTTTACTTGGAATGGAGGCAGGTGGTATACATCTCCCATCTGTCAGTACTTGCAAGAGTTGGATAAGTGGGATGTTGATAAAAACAGTATTGATAAGGATGTGGATTTGCCAATGGATATCTCTCGTAGTTGGAAATACGATAGATTGGTGGATGATATGTTGGTGGGGTAGACATTTATATCGGGATTAGTTATTTATTAGTTTTGCATACACATTATATTTCGAATAGTTAGAGGTTTTGAAGAGATTTGTTTGATCTTAGTAAGATGTAGCTTACAGTAAATTCCTATCATATCATCAATATTTTGCAACCAAAATGAATGAATGAATGAATGTGTGTGTGTATGAAGACTAGTAGATTGAAGTGGTAGTGTTGGAGTGTACAATTGTTAAATCCGAAATTCGGGAGTTCGGATATTAAATGCACTTTAACTCCGATGAACGGAAAGAAGTTTATAAAAAAGTACAAAAGAAAAAAAGTTAAATCCGAAGAGAGACGTGTCACTGTACAAATTTCTCTCTTTCTCTTTTTTTTCTTCTTCTTCTTTTAGTTTGTATTCGGCATTTGAACTTTCGCAATGGTTAGTACTCATACTTTGATATATATTTGATTGAGCATTGGGATACTCTGTAGTAGTAAGTAATACCACACAGATGGTGTGACTAAGGAAAGGAAAGTGTAGTAGTAAAATAGATACAAACAGATAGAAAGTGTTTATATATATATATATATATTTATATACGTATCTGACTAGAGATAAAATGTGTTAAAACCAAAATATGTGTAATATAAAATTTTTGTTTCAAGTCTTTTCTTCTTCTTCTTCTTCTTCTTCTTCTTCTTCTCCTGTCCACATTGATTGTCTTTCTTTCCCCTTTACTAGAACTGCAACAAACCCATTTACTGCTAAAGTCTGTTGCCTTTTAATATCACAGATAGAATATCAGATTTCAAAGAAGTTTCGAAGTCAAGGGCAAACTGCAACAACAACAACAACAACAACAGCAACAGCAACAGCAACGTCTTCATCAATCTGCCCCTCCATTATCTCGCACACACAAAGCAACACACTTGGAAATGTTTAGTAAGTTGAAACTGAAGGTAACTGGCTCAAATTCAAGCTCAAATACTCCCTCAACGTCAGAAACATCTTCATTGAAAGCCATTTCTTCTCCTGACTCATCGACCAGCACAGTCTATGGTCAAAATGACAACAACAACAACAGCAGCAGCAGCAGCAGCAATGGTAAATCAAAGTCAAAGGATCTGATCACCCTTGGTCCATCACGATATACTCCCTTTGATTCCCCATCCCCAGGCTCACATATTCCTCAAGAACGCAAGTTGACTGAGGAGGAGAAATCCAAGTACTTGCAAGTATTGAAACATTTCCAAAATCCAGATTTACTTATTGCTGACTCTGAAGAGCATCACAAACACAAGACAGCATCCACTACTTCCTCCACATCGCCATTAACCATTGAAGAGAAATCATGGTTGACTAGAGAATGCTTTTTGAGATACTTGAGAGCAACCAAATGGCATGTTGACGAAGCTATAGATCGTATTGAGTTGACTTTGGCTTGGAGGAGAGAATTTGGTGTTGACCACATTTTGGATAAAGACAACATTGTCAATGGTGAGTTGACCAGTCCTGAAAATGAAACTGGTAAAGAAGTGATTTTGGGTTACGACAACGACTCTAGACCTTGCTTGTATTTAAAACCAGGTCGTCAAAACACCAAAACTAGTCAACGACAAGTACAACACTTGGTCTACATGTTGGAAAAAGTCATTGACTATATGCCCTCAGGTCAAGATTCATTGGCTTTGTTAATTGATTTCAAACCCCATCCAGTGGGCACCCAAGGTGGTAAAATCCCCCCTGTTGGAATAGGGAGACAAGTTTTGCATATCTTGCAAACCCATTATCCTGAAAGATTGGGTAAAGCCTTGTTAACAAATATTCCGTGGTTGGGATGGACTTTTTTAAAAATTATTCATCCCTTCATTGACCCCTTGACTAGAGAGAAATTGGTTTTCGACCAACCATTTATCAATTATGTACCAAAATCACAATTGGATAAAGATTTTCAAGGTGACGTCAATTTTATTTATGAACACGACAAGTACTGGCCAAAGATGATTGAGATTGCCGAGTCCAAAAAGCAAAAGTATTTTGAACGGTTTGAGAAATTTGGTGCTTGTGTTGGTCTTAGTGAGGTTGATTTAAGAGGTGTTGATGAAGAGTTGACCCATCCTGTCGATAACATTTGAAATGGGAAAGAGAAGGAGAGTTAATTTGCATTTGCATTAGATTTAGAATTAGAAGTACACTCAAATTATAACCTTTGTACATATGTATGTTTGTATCTAATCATATCTCTATATGTGTGTGGTGCTCAAACAATAAAAGGATTGGCATTCTTTCTTTTCTCAACAACCCCAGTATCCAAATCAATCATATTCTGCCAATCAACAGGATACATAAGCCCACCAGCGCCACCTACCAGCTTAGCCAACACAACTCCCAAATCATTTCTCGCAGTTGAACAATAATAATTTTGACCATCACCCAAGCTAATAATCATACACCGAACAACATCACCGGGCTTAAAGCATTGGCCCACTACACATTTGTCTCGCTCAGTCGATCTGATATCGGAAGCTCGAATGATACCACGGTAGTTCTCACCCAAGTCATAAATGGTTGCCTGGTGCGTAGTTGAGGCTGACGACGCGACGGTTTGTAAGTTGTGATTGTGTTGCGATCCGCCTCCGTGGGGGAGTGATGCTTGCGCTGTAGCTCCGTTGGATCCTGCGCCAGAGTCAGCTAGGATGTTGCCGCCATTCGCATTCGCATTCGCATTCCCACTCCCACTTGATTCTGTATTTTGACCCAATTGCGTTCCATCTGGTTTCGACCTCGACTCAAGGGCAATGATTTCGCAATTTGCTTGTTTTTGAGAAATTCGCGTGATCCGCACCAAGACGATGTCGTTCTCCTGAGGAAGGTTTATAGAAGTGGTATTTGAGACTGATGATGTAGGATTAGATAGACTGCCTTCGCTATTTTCGTTGGTGCTGGTAGGTACAACATTGACAAGATACGTCAATTCCGACCCACTTCTTTCTTTGTCACTTGCCTGATTTTCTTCCCCATCTTGCTGTTCATCTTTATTGGCCTTGATAAATTGTGTCTTCCCTACAATAGTTGCACATATTACTGGTAAAACTCTTCCATCGACTTCAATTGGATTGACCACGGTACCAGTTCCAGCAAGATACTTGACCAGTTCGCTCTGTTGTGACTGTTTCTTGTCTTGTACGAGATTGTACGTGGGCGTTATGTATTGACCAGGGACTACTATTTTCAGCTGCATTGTGGAATCTATATATGTGTGTATTAGCTGGAGTTATCAACAGTACTGTTGTGTGCCACTCATCTCAACTGTGATGGAGTTTTTTTTATTTTTTTTTTCTGCTTCTGCTTATGCGTTGTATATGGTAGTGAAACTACACATTTGCCGCATCCATCAAATCTTTCCCAAATTCTCAACAATTGCAACATCTCATCAAAGGATTTTCGCAACCTTCTGTCCACGCCTCACCCCTCTCCTCCATTCCAAATACACAGAAAGAGCAGCCCCATGAATCAGAAATACCCCCCATACACAAACGACAACACGACCCCACCCACAGTCTCACTACGCGACTATGACGACGCAGAATGGGCCGACACCACATGTGTCGATTACAGGCCCGATTTACAAGGATACGTTATTGTTGATTTGGAACAGACCGATTATGTTGTGGCTCATATCGACAAGACCGATAATAATGTTTTGGATGTCATTTTCAAAAGTGCTAAGGAGACACATGCCAAGCAACAGCAACAGTAAATATGCCGGTGGATAATTCGATCCGGTGATCCTTTTTGTCCATTGCTGCTGCTACGATGCCAATTAAATTTAGTTAACTAGATGACTGAAATTGCAAGAGTATATTGTTCTATGAGCAGTCAACAATTATTCAGAACTTCAGATCATTGTTCAGTCCAATTAGATTTATATATAAATGCATTAAATTTTAAGCCTATCAGTAATAAATATAAACCAAGAAGCTTCATTGGCAACTTCGCTAACCGTACTATAAATCAGCACCCACACCGTGTCATCCACCCCACGCCTCTGTCCATTCTCTTCCCCACTTCTAAAAGAATTGCGTATAACAACGACTCTCCACGTGAACTTCCATTTCACTCTTAATCATATTCATCTCCTCCTTAATCTGCTGTGCCAATAACGGAGTCAATTGATTACAAGTGGCAGTGTCAGGATGTCGATCATACTCCTCATCATTGTATGTATCATAAAGAATAATTCTGGAACTGAATCGGACACCAGATTGTTTAGCAGGAACCGGAGGCGGAGGTGCAACGCGAGGTGCCAAGATATTGAAAGCACTCTCCGTGTTTGCATTGTTACTAGTGTTGCTGTTGTTTCCTCCTCGTTTCCACCTACTCAACATTGATGTGAATGACCTTGGAGATGAGCCCGCCGACGATTGATCTGAAATGGATGGAATTTTATTGTGACTAAACTTGGTGCCAAATGGAGGCGGCGGCAACGGTAATGTGAAATCAGGTGAATTCGACGCATTGGATAGTTCAATTGATTTGTTCTGATTGTTGTTCTCAGTGCCAAACTTAGACCTTGACTTTGATGGTGGTGTTGTATTTCTAGTTTGACCGGAATATTGTTGCGACGCCACTTGAATCTTCTCTTGTTGCTTATGTTGCTGCCTAATTCCACCTTGAGCACCTCCATTATGTGGTATTAGATTCTCCTTTTCATGTTCACTGTACTCTTGACTTTGTTCGCCATCAATCAAGCCCAATCCTACATTACCACGTATCGTAGGTTCCTCTTCCTCTTCCTCTTCCTCCTCCTCTTCCTCCTCTTCATCGCTGCTTGTTCCAAATCCTCCTCCAACCGAAGACAGGTCATCGTGGAATGATATCGTAAACGATTGATGGGAATCGCTGCTTCTCAAATCATGTTGCGCAATTTTACCCGAAAACGAAGGCTTGTCCAACCCCTTAAATGACATGGAGATGGGTCTATTCTTATTGTTGGATCTTCCCTTTTTCGTGCTCCTATATGCACTGTCCAAAATTGGTGAGCTTTTTATCACTTCTGTCTCGTCATCAACCCCGTCACTGTCAGCTTCTTTTTCTGCTTCATGCACTGAGCGGTGATTCGCCTCTCCGCGATGTGATTCGGTATTTAATAACGCTCCACCACTCCCAGTGGCATGATCATCATCCTCGCTGACATCCAAAGTTGTATCATCATGTGCAGCTGGCAAAGTCTCTTCATTAAATTTTCTATAATTTTCAAACCCATCAACAACCTCGACGCTGGTTTTGGGAGATTCGGCAGTATTCATGGAAAGTGGAGAAGGAGAATGAGTCCTCGATTCTGCAACAATAGGAATTGGCGAGGCATGGCTAGTCCCGCTGTTGGGAAACTCAACTGTGTCAATTTGCAAAACGGGTGGAGATAATGTCCTACTGATATTCGCCTCCTCTTTGTCAGTATCATCAGAATCCACATCAACGTGAATGCCTGGAGTATTCACCTTCGAACCGTCATCAACCATTCCTTCGCCTAGGACATTCGAGCTTGCTTCATTTCTCAACCTTTCATTGACATCATATTTTGAGCTCATGGCTTCTGGGCGTGGACTTGCCGACGCTGACCCGGCCCTAACTGACGGAGAATAGTTAAAATTCAAGTTATCAACATCAATAAAGTCACTAAACTCCAAAAACTCGTTATATTCTGAGTTATCCAACAAGTTCTGTAACGAATTCTCATCAACACGTGGAGACGACGGAGATTGCGATTTGAGAAATGAGCCGCCTGATGGTTGCGAATATAACGAACTCGAGTTTGGTACTCCCTCGTCATAAACATGATCCAACACGTATGCATCAATCGAGTTAGGCTCGATTTCCTTATTCAAGTTGCTAGTTTTACTTGCAGAATTTTTCAATATTGAACTTGATCTGGTAATCCCACTCGTGCTATGAGGTGACAAAGTAGGACCACTGTAGTGCACAATATTATCATCACTTCCGTCGTAGTTGACAAACGAGCTCCGCTTATTCGATTTAATTGACTTCAAGGATCTAGACCTCTCCAACGACACTATACTTTCAACCTCATGCGCACTGAGCGATCTCGGGAACAATGCCTCTCCCAACAATTGATGGCTCTTGTCCTCCTTGCGACTAGGGTATCTATTTGGAACAGGTGAGTTGGAAGGTGAAAACGATGTTGGAAATCTTCTGTTGTCGTTTGAGTTAGCAAATGATGCATTGCGATCCAACACTTGAGTAGGTCTCTTGCTCTCAGGCGAGCTTTTATAATCCACCTTGAAAGGCGACCCAAATTGGGTATCCTTGATTAAAGGTGGAATCAACGTAATCTCCTCGCCTTGTTGGTGATTTGGCATTCTTTGCACAGGAGGATTTGCCAGTAAATTTTCGAAGTCATACACATCAAATTTTTCATCCACAGATGGGTCGAATGACAAGTTATCAGCACCATCGTAATCGCCGTCTTCGTCATTATCATCTTCATTATCCTCCACAACCTCATCGGCATCTTCAAACTTATCTAAACTATCATCACTGCTTTCAGCAGGACGATTTGTTGAGTCAAATGCGACATTACTATCACTAACTTCGCGGATAAAGTTTATGGATCCAGGTCTTGCAATCTGTGTATTACCCGGTTGTGGTGGTCCAAACCTTTCATCAAGCAACACTGGCGAGTCATACAAGTCATCAACAGGATCTTGCTTTTGGGCACGATCAACTGCGGATTCTTTCGCGTTGGACCTGTCTTCTGAATGGACCTTGCCCTCAGGTTTATCCTTCCCGTCTGAAATATCTGACTCCCCGGTCTTCTTCTTGCCCAAGGTATTCAATTGATCAAATGACTTGTTCTTCTTAAACACACTCATTATGGAGATGTTAGATTTAGTCTTTGTCAAAGGCGGAAGCAGTAAGTCTGTGCTACTTTGATTCTTTGTAGTGGATGGCTCTTCTTTATACAATGGAATATTGGTTGTTGAATACGACTTTCCTGCTGGTTTGGGTGCACGTGCATCCGCAGTTTCTTGTGATTTACTCAAATCATGACTCTTGGACTTTGATTTGAAAAGTGATTTGAAGCTGAACTTCTTTTTCTCGGCTGCAGCTTCCTTTCCATTGGAATGAGATACGTTATTCAATTCGTCCATTGTTGAACTTCTCTTGTGCAGTAACTGTAACTTGCTATCATCACGAGATGCTTTCTTTGCAAAATTCAATGAAAAAGTGGAGTTTGAACGCATACGCGATGGTCTTTGTGGTGAACTAGGCATTTGAGGTTCTAAGTCTTGTTGGTTTTGCTTGGGTATAGCACTCTTCTTTCTTTCCTTATTTAAGACTTGCTCTGTTGGACTCAAGACAGACAACATGCTAGTTGATTTGGTAGTATCGCCTTTGTTTAACTCTTTTGAATTGGTTTTGCTGTTATTGTAGGACTCATACTTCATAGTAGGGTCCAAGTCCCGATGTTCCAATTTTGTAGAACTTGAATCCTGATTTCTTGTGCTGCTGTAAGCTGGTGCTGAAAATTTCTTTTGCTGACTATTATTATTATTATTATTATTATTATTTTGTGGTGGAATCGCCGGCTTGGATAACGGAGCAAACGAGCTTTTGAAACTTTGACCACTATTGGTATTGGGTTGGTGATGATATAGATCTCCGCTTGCAGCAGTGTGTGAATTTGCGGTTGTAAATGAGTTGGAGGACAATTTATCAAACTTGTTATCCCTGGTGTCTGAAAATTTATGTTGGTGTTTTTTATTTCTCTCCTTAGCCTCGTTTCCGGCATATTGAGAAATTGTGTGCTCGGTTGAAGGCGGCAAGTCGACACTGACAGTCTCCTCGGTGATATCATTCATATGTGACTCTGTGGTATCATTTATCAACGTGTCGTCTTTGGATCCCAGTCCTCGTCGAGCACCTGTCTCGATGACCTTTAACTGAGGAGACTCAAAATTGTGTGGAGTGAAATTTTGAAATGTAGGTGGTTGACCCAAAATAGGTGTATCGTCAGTGCTATACCCACTCCCGCTAATGGTTGAAATTGATGACTTGGCATTGTGTGAGACTTTCGACGAACGCTTATCACTATGCCTAGTGGTGGAAATATGATGGTCGTCTCTGATTGATTCCTCTGCGGTCTCAAAGGATTGCATGGAATTGACTGTCTCCAGGGTAGCATTGTGTTTCTTGAAACTAGCTGGCGAAGTCATCTTTTGAGGGCGCTTTTCCAGGAGATTGTACTTGCTTCTGATATCCAAGGGATCTGTGTGTTGTGCGTGCTCCAGTTCATCATCCTCTTCATTATCATCAACACCAGATTCCTCTCCTTCATTTTCCTCTTCTTCTTCAGTGACTTGCTCGGCTAGCGTAGGAGGTGACCATTTTTTACTCTTTTCATTTAAAATGCTCTCCAAGGCTTTCAAACTAGGCGAAGATTTGATGATTGAAGTTCGACTGGTGGACTGAGGTAGTTTTTGAGTCAACGCCTCGTTATCCACTCTTAACCCATCCTTGATACTTCTTGAGCTTATAGAGTTTGGTATTTGAATTGAACTTCGAAGTTTATTGATATGATTGGAGCTATTGTTGGTGGGTGCTGAGTAGAAATTGTTTTCAGAAAAGAACTCGTCAAAGTCGGGCGATGCTTGTGAATTGGACATGACTAAAAGTAAAACGATGCAGATCCAAGCAAAGGTTATAGGTTAGACTATGTAACGTTCTTTAGGTTGTTGTTGGCTAGTTGTAGGGAATTAGGAAAGTTGAAGGTTGTATGTGCAGCTGTGGTGGATGGGGGAGGGGGGACGGGGAGTGCTCAAATTAAAGTAAGTTTCTGCAAAAGAACAGAATGAAAGGGGGTGCTTCTTTAAGTTACTTTAGGTGTTGATACTGAATTGATGTGAGATTCGATGCTGAACAAAGTGGGTGGGAGAAAGACAAGGTAAAATGGAAGTGAATATGTATGTATTACCTTGGTTGTCAAAAAAAAGAAAAACCTCAAAGGAATTGAATTCAAAAAAAAAAATAAAATAAAAAAATAAAAAAAATAAAAAAAAAAGAATTATGCTTCGGCAAAGAGACAAAAATAATAATATAGAGACGTGATGTATAAAATTTGAAATAAATAAAATTGTGAAAAAAAACTCGATATAACGACTACCTCTACCTTCTACATTCGAGCTCTACTAGTGTTGATGTCTAATGGGTGTAACCCCGTGACTATTTTTCTTTACTAGTAGTCACTAAACCAATGAGCATTCCAACCCCTCCGCTCACCCTCTTTTCATATTTATATTTTATTTTTATTTTTATTTTTAAATTTTATTTTTTTTTTTTTCAAGTGTGCGTGAATAATTAAACCCAATTAGGAAATCACAATACAACTATGCAAAAAAGTCATTTCAATTTACCTCTTTCTCGAAACGAAATAATACAGCTTAGTCTACATTTCGACAAGATTTCTTCTTATCGAGAAGAGCTTATTCAGTCTCATAACTGTATGAAAGGGGCAGGCAGTAGGCAAAGTAGGTGGCGCGTGTTCATTGACTACGTTACGGAGGAGAATTTTCTGTATTTGTGTAATATAACTAAAAAAAAGGAAATTATTACACGAAATATTTACGCGTTGCATGCACTTGACATGCTCATACAATTCGCAACTTCTATCCAATTTCTTCTAAACCTCTATATATCTTCTATCCACCACCACTCAAAGCTACATAATCACACAGTCCCCCTTCTTCTTGAGTCTGTTCAACCTTCCAGGCTTCTTCGGTGTTTGTTGTTGTTGCTGTTGTTTGAGTTTATTCTTTTCCAATATCGATTCCGAATCTCCATAGTAAGTTATACTTCCACGATGACTTCTGAATCGACTTTTACCCTTGGCTTCAATCTTGGGCGGCTGTCCAAACTCGCCCACTGATGTCGCATTTGTCGATTTCCTATCCAATACCGAATTCAAATCAACCTCAGAAGCAAAAATGCTGTCTGCTGGTTGAGTATTCGTATTAGTCGACACTGAAGATTGCCTGCTTTCTGTCCTGTGTAATCGAAGCACTGGATCTAATCCAAATTGTAGAATGGAATTAGCCATGTACAAAAACAACTTTATCCATAAAACCTCCAACTCAATGGTGAATCTAGATCCAAATCGTTCATTAAAAGTCTGTATCAATGCTTCACCCATGATTTCATATGCTGGAGGCTCAATCCCAAATATCCTTGCATGGCTCTTACCCAACTTTTCAAAAAATGGATCCAATATTGACAAATCTTCTAGATTTGCAATTGCCATTTGCATAACTTGAGCAAAACTCACTGCTTGATGCTTTAACGATGGCCATAGAAGTTCCAACTCTGGAGCAAGCGTTAATAAATTCGAGTACAATTGACGACAAAATAGTGACGATGCCATCAGTGATGTTGTCTTTTGTCGTGGAGTGGCATTAAACCCACCTGGCATATTCCGAGAAGACTTGTTCTCCTCCAACAACATCTTGTTCCAAGTGTATCTCAACAACTCAATCTCGTTCCTTGTAAACTGTTGTCTAATAAGATATCGATCAGGGGTTTCCAAGTTGTATTGCTCCAAGGACAAATTTGTCTCTTGTCGAGTCAAATGGTATGCTGTTTGCATATTGTAGGCCAAGTTATCACTTAACGCAATGGGAATTCTCAATATAGGGTCTTCTTTTTCCGAATATTGTGCGGTTGAGGTGATTGTTGTCTTAGTTGGGACCGTGTATAATGAAGTGTCGTCACTTCTCGAAAGGATTGACGTAGTCATTTCTCAAAAGTGGGAGAGGGGGGGGGACAGAGTGTACTTTTATAAATTTTTCAATAAAATGGCACACGTATGTTTGTCTGTGTCTGTGTCTGTTTCTGTAACGTGATTGAACTTGACGGCGTCTTATCCTTAACCGTGGAGTGCAATGTATCGTCTAAAATCAGTGTATGTAATGAAGCCGCTAACTTTAATAAACGAGTGGGATTTTTAATGCAGTGTTTTGAAATCAAATGCCGTTCAGAATAATAAAACGGTCGGTTGAGTATTGTTTCCTATTGTAGGATGTGTATGTCAATCAATGCTTCCTGCTTGGTTTCCTATTGTTGAGTGTGGCCGTTACTAGTGTCCTCTAGTTAAATTATGTATATTTGGCTTGATGCAGAAAGTGGTCTGATTTATGAAAAGGCAAAACAAAAAACAAAAAAAGCAAAAGGCTTGAATGTAATTTGTGAGGAAATGGTTAGGATTTTATATATCCTTCCTTCATTTTAGATGCTACAGGGTGAACAGCGACAAGAACAACGTCAAAGTCTGATTCAGAACAGTTATTGTGTAAAATTGAGTGTGAAGATGCCGATAATTATTTCTTGATCCGAAATTAAGCGCTCTCCTATGTAATCTTAATATCAGCACCACAACGCTGAAAATATCGGTGCCGTAAAAGAAGTCATTCTGTGAAACCTTTTTCTTTTTATTATCCTTGCTGGTTATCCTATTGTTATCACCATTTGTCCCGTTTTCCCTAACCCATAACATCGGAAGACTGGTGGAAAAAGACAACAATAGTAAAATTGTTTTTGTTCAACGAAACCGTTTACTGAGGGAATTGTTTTGTGTTTGAAAAATATTTTTCTTTTTTTATTTTTTGTTTCAGCACACAAAACAAGAAATCAAATGAAGAAGAACATCAGAATCAAAGAATACGTGAGATAAGTGGTTGTAATTTGCAGTTGTATGAATAGTACTCCCTATCCTGGAACAACCGGGATGTTCTGTGTGAAAAAAAAAAGAAAAAAAGAAACGAAGCGGCTCGGGTTTGAGAAGAGCAAAAGTCAAGGTGGTGGACTATTTTTCAAAAACAAACTAAGCCACTGATGTCGGTGAGGAAATATGTAACTCGTCCTATATTATGGTCTGACGATGAGCATTCAACAAAAGATGCAAACAATAGCAACCGGTTTTCAAGCCGGTCCCAATGGTTTGTCTAGTATCTCGTAGAGTTTAATCAAGCCTTGTGCCTATAACACAACAATCCAGTTTAAGCACCTCAGTAAACAAACATTAGGCTGTTTCCTGAACACTCCAATCCCAGTCATAAATCTCCTTCAAATATAGATTCAATTTGTAATTGATTCGACATTGTGGTTTTTCAATCAACGAAAACTAATGCGGATCAAACCATTCACAAAATCAATATTAGTGCCCCTTATATGCACACCGCTTGTCCATTTTGACCAATAATAACTTCACTGTTTGTGCTCTGCATGCGGGGGGGGGGGATCTTGCGTACGCACCGCCTCGCCATCCATTCTGGCTCCTTACACATTTGGGATTGGGGGTTGTGGAAATATCTTGAAAAATGAAGAGCCAATTTCCACGGATAAAGTCGATTTCAGTAATTGTGGCACCGGTGGGTTTTTGTCCCGAAACTACTGTAGTGGACCATCAAGTATGCATGTTCCTGTGTCGAAGCTACGAGTAAAAGTGGAGCGCAGGTTGATATGATGGAGGTAACTTGAGAGAATAACTTCACTTAAAAATGGCACAGTTGATTATTAGAAGCACAGTGATTGCCATTTGCAATGTATAGAACCTCGGTAGCGAGCTTGTAATTCCCCACACGATGATCGTCGCTATAATAATTGATGATGTCAAATCACATCTCGCATCCTTGTTTGCGCGCTCTGTATGCATTGGAGTGTCCAAGTGGCACTTTCATGCATGCAAGTGGAGCTGTACCAATTCTGTTGATCCCCCTTTCTCCTTGTTTCCGCATTCTAGAATGAAATAATTTCGTATCTGCGAATGAGAATCCCAATTAGGCGTCTCAGTGCAGGATATCTTTATATATGCATGTTGACTAATCTTGATTACAATAAAAGCGTCTCCCTTTATTTTATTTTATTTTATTTAATATTATATTTTGCGTCCCCCTTTCTCGTAAATGGAGAGGAGAGTGGGGGGACACTAGGTAAAGAATGCAGTAAACCCATCATTCTAAAGGAGAAGATGAAACGGCACAGATAAGAAAGAACTTATGCACGTCCGGTGTTGAAAGCAACAGCGCAGAAAGCACTATGATCTCATGGGACTTGCATAAACTACAACAAAGTGGTTATGAGTGTGTCTCGTGTGTAGATCGACGCCAAAACAATTTGATCTAAATTTTTACACACATTTTGATGATTGTCGATGTGGCGCAATATGTGTCTCGAGTTTCCCGCACATTTGCAATGACGGACATTGGCGGGTTGCAGGTTGAACAGACGTCTCGAAGGGGTGCTGAGCTTGGTGCATTCCCCATCTGTATACTTCTCGTATAGACTCAACAATTCCAGAGTCAAAAAAAGAAAAGAAAAAAAAAAAAAAAAATTCTTCACCAAAGAATTCACATTTACGAGAGAACGATATTTAAAGTAATCAATTCCAAGAAAGGGACATTAATTAGTAACATAATCGAACCCAATTTTATCTATCTTTGGCAATATGTCTGCTAGTTTTAGCTTCCGTGTAAGGTATTTAAATAGCTTTCTTCTTATTTCCGGTCCCACCCCCCCCCTCAAATTGTATGTTCTTCTTAATATTGGTCTATTGTATTTCTTTTTCCTTGTTCTTTTCTTTTGTTCTTTTGTTCTGTTTTAGCTCATTTTGCATTAAATCCAGTACCAATGAAGTTAGACAACAAAAGAGGGTAAACTTGCCGTTCTTCATAACCCCCCCCTCTCCCAACAACAACAACAACAACAACAAAAACAACAATAGAGGCCACTCTTATCACTATTATATTGCAGTGTTGTGGTGACATCACCACCAATGCATATTTGACGGAAACATCACTAGAATTGATAAGCACACACATTGTGATCTTATGAGGTGGAAATTGGTTCAACTTATCAGACACGTGGGTCGTGTACCATTCGCATTACCGACAAGCAATTCATCACCTACTCTTGGTTAATGAACAATAATCGGTGCACGTGACACGGGTGTGTATCTCCGATTTTTTAAATTCTGCGAAGAGCTCAAAAAATAATTACAAACTGTTAGCCTGCAAATCTGTCTTGTCAAACGCAAAGCACATGACAACTCTACCCTTCACAACATCGCCTACTGATCAAGTGCGACTAAACCTCATACACTACAACCTATGGACTCAAGTTGATGTACACAATGATTACATTCTAAGTGGGCTACCGCCAGCAAAATTGGTGTCCACTGATGCTGACGCCAAACGTGAATGGGTAGTATGCACACGATTGAATGAACAAGACAAGTTGAGTGTTAAAGAAATAAACTCGTGGTTTGAAGAGATAAAGCTGTTTACGAAAGAGCTGAAGGAGGAGAAGAGTGTCAAACTAAATACCACAAGTGATACCAATGAACATAATGATCAACAGCCTAGCACTTTTTCCAAAGTCCCTTCAACGGAAACCAAATCATTATCTGGGAACAACTCCGACTCCATTTGGAAACCAGTTGACAAAACAATGAATGGAAAAGGTCGAGTGGATCGGATAACAATTGCATTAATCAACGACGACGGAACAATTGTCTACTACTTCATCCATGATGGAATCACCAAACCACGTCAAAACTAACCCTCAGACACACAATCCTACGAATGTATAGTTTTATACTTATCAATACTGTATTTCAACAAACGTAGTATATATATACACATATATATATATATATACATAAAAATGCTCACCTTTGAAGAAACTTGAAAACTATGTACAATGGAATTGGTTCAAGGTCAGCAATGGTGTAGCAAAACATACAACTCTCTTTGTAAAAGAAGGAACAATACGCTCTGAGCAAAGAAGTTCAGTTAACGTATAAATCATCGTAATTGAGTTAGATACAATATAGACTTTAGAAAAAAATCTATATTGCAGTCTTGGTTCTTTTCAATTCACTTAATCCTTCTTTTCTTCAGATGATGATTGTTCACCACCGTCTTTGTACAAGTCCTTGAAAAGGTCAATAGCAGCAGTTTGCAATTCTTCAGTCTTGGACTTCAAGTCTTCAGCAATGACTTCTTCTCCAGCTTGTGCTTTCAAGACGATTTCTCTCAATTTTTCAATTTGCTCCTTAACCTTGTCGACAGCTTCAGTTGACAATTTCTCCTTGTGCTCATTCAATGAGTTTTCGGTATCGTTACACAATTGATCGGCTCTGTTGGCAGCCTCAATAGCTTCCCTCTTGGATTTATCGGATTCAGCGTATTTCTCAGCATCGTTAACCATCTTTTCGATTTCAGCATCAGATAAACCAGATGATCCGGCAACAGTGATGGAAGCATCCTTGTTGGAAGCCTTGTCACGAGCAGAAACCTTGATGATACCATCGGTATCAATGTCAAAGGTGACTTCAATTTGTGGAACACCCTTTGGTGCTGGTGGAATACCAGACAAGGTAAAGTTACCAATCAATTTGTTGTCTCTAGTCAATTCTCTTTCACCTTGGAAGACTCTGATTTCAACCGAGGTTTGTCCAGCAGATGCAGTGGAGAAGATTTGTGACTTCTTGGCTGGGATGGTAGTGTTTCTCGAAATCAATCTAGCAAAGACACCACCCATGGTTTCAATACCCAAGGATAATGGAGTGACGTCCAACAAGACAACATCCTTGACTTCACCTGCCAAGATACCACCTTGAATAGCAGCACCCAAAGCAACAGCCTCATCTGGGTTAACAGCCTTGGATGGTTGTTTGCCGAAAATGGACTTGACAGTTTCAACAACCTTTGGCATTCTTGACATACCACCAACCAAGATAACTTCAGAAATGTCTGAAGTGGACAAACCGGCATCCTTCAATGCCTTCTTACATGGTTCAATAGTCTTTTTGATCAATGGTTCAACCAATTGTTCAAATTGAGCTCTGGTGATTTTTTGGTTAATGTGCTTTGGACCAGATGCGTCAGCAGTGATGAATGGCAAGTTGATATCGGTGGAGACAGTTGATGACAATTCAATCTTGGCCTTTTCAGCGGCTTCTCTGATACGTTGGATGGCCATTCTATCCTTTTCCAAGTCAATACCAGTTTCCTTCTTGAAAGTTTCAACAATGTTTCTAACCAATGCAATATCGAAATCTTCACCACCCAAATGAGTGTCACCATTGGTTGACTTAACTTCGAAGACACCAGCACCAATATCCAAGATGGAGATATCGAAAGTACCACCACCCAAATCGAATACAGCAACGACTTCACCATCCTTCTTTTCCAAACCGTAAGCCAAAGCAGCGGCAGTAGGCTCGTTAACAACTCTCAAAACGTTTAATCCAACAATCTTACCAGCATCTTTGGTAGCTTGTCTTTGAGCATCGTTAAAGTAAGCTGGACAAGTGACAACAGCACTGTTGATCTTTTTACCCAAAGCAGACTCAGCAGTTTCCTTCATCTTGTTCAAAATGAAACCACCAATTTGTTGTGGTGAATATTGTTCACCCCTTGCTTCCAACCAAGCATCGCCATTTCCGTGCTTGATGATCTTGTAAGGAACTTGGTTGAGATCTCTTTGAACTTCTTTATCGTCGTATCTACGACCAATCAAACGCTTGGTGGCAAACAAAGTGTTTTCTGGGTTAACAACAGCTTGACGTTTAGCTGGGATACCAACCAATCTTTCGCCATCCTTGGTGAAGGCAACAATGGAAGGAGTGGTTCTTCCACCTTCCGAGTTTTCTAAAATCTTTGGAGTCTTACCTTCCATAACAGCAACGGCTGAGTTGGTGGTACCCAAATCGATACCAATAACTGGACCGGTTGGTGCAGCTGCGGTGGATTGCGCACGTACAGCAGCAAACCTGCTAGCGGTTGGTAATTGACGAGCAATGTTTCTCATCGAACTTCTAGCGGACAACATCGTTATTCTTTTATGCAGTGTTGATAATTGATGATATGTAAACCTCCTTCAAAGAAAAGTACAGGCAAGCTACTTAAGGAAAAAGGATGTATGGAAAACTTTTTTTTTTTTTATGTTCTATATATATTGAAAGGTTGAAAATTTTTTGTTTGTGTCTTCTTTGTCCCACAGCGAACGTCATGGACTTTTGGTTAAAAGAATGTCGCAGCAAAAGTCAATGTGGTAGCTCTGTGGAACTCCTATGGAATCCAATGGAAAAAAAGGAAAAAAAAGAAAAAAAGAAAGAAAAAAAAGAAAGAAAATTGGCACTATGTGTATGATTACTGATCGAGAAGGTCTGTGTGCGACTTCTAGACAATATGTTGTTGCAAAAAATGTCTCTTATTCTGTTGCCACTGAGTAAATGGACACTTACCCATATTGTAGATATAAAGACCTTGGAAGTTCTTTATGTCATACACGAATAACCAAAAAAGAACGATGAGAAAGATGGATCTACAAATGAAGCTGTTTTACTCTATCTGAGCTCTATGCGGTTGAAAAAGGGTCTGCAGTGCTAATTCCAAAGAACGAAATAGAAGATCTACTTTTCCACGAAGCTACTTGCATTGTCACATACAAAATCAACTAACTGAATTATTCTGCTAGTTCCTCGGGTATATTGCCATTCATGAGCCAGGTAAGGGATTTATTCTTGCGAAACGTTTCGAAATACTCAATCATCTCGTCGTCCAGTTTATTGTACTTTTGACTTCCTCTCTTTATTGCTTCACATAATCGTTTCCGTCTTTGATACCTTTTGCTATCTTTAGATCTAGAATTTCCTCTCCATTTAAGCTTGCCGTATTTTTCGTCTAATTCGCAAAGCGGCTCTTGGCCCTTGATACCCTTGTAAAATTCATCATAAATTTCACGCACTGTACTTGGATGGTGAATAAATTCAATGTGGATTTTATCTTGAGGTGTAGAGTCTCCACCTTGGTCGACTTTTGATGACATGCGCGTGTCACTGCGCAGTGTGTTTTCTGCATCGTTGGTCTCTCCTCTTTTCCTCTTTCTTGACTTGGACTTTTGTTTCAAAGCTATGTCTTCCTGCGAATGATTCAATCGACGAGATAATTGATTGTCTTGACTTACTTGCCTAGAAAGTATGTTTTCTGACAAAACGGAGGACACATGCTGTAACTCGGGATCCATACTACTACTTATAGTTCTTGCAAGATGTACCGAAGCAGGATCTTGACTCTGGTTCTGGTGCTGATGTTGGTGTTGTTGTTGTTGTTGTTGTTGTTGTTGTTGTTGGTTCGGCATGCGGTGCATTGAAACTCTGTTGTGGTCAATCACAGGCTGGTGATTCTGGTGCAACTGCTGCGCTTGCAAATTACCCATGTGTTGGTGTATTTGCTGTTGCACGTTGTTGTGTCGCTGTAGATCACTTACATTGATACTCTCTTGAAAAGCTCGTATGGACCGCAACATGGATTCATCATCATCATCCAGCTCAGGGGATGATGCACCATTAGTCCTCAAACTCATCACCACGTCATCTTCGCTCGGAATTTTATTCCTCCTGGGCATCACCTGGGTAATCAAGTCCGTCAATAAGGACGTCACTTTGTCCAACTTTGTGTTTTGGAAATCAAGCAACTGCCTCAACATCGATATCTCGCGTTCCAACGGAGTAACACGGTCACTCTCAATCCTGTTGAATTGATTTGTCAATTGTCCAATCTTGGCTTCCAAAAGCGCCATTGTCAGTTGACTAGTGCGGCTGTTAGAAGACGAACTCATTGCAGGATGAAGTGCTAAATGAGTATGCTGTGCGTCTGGAGATGTTGTATTTCCAGACTTTGGGGTGTCGCTCTCAGTGCAATGAAAAGCTGCAAAAATGTCGGGGAATGACTACTAAAGCTGTGACTTTTATTAGTAGAGGGGAAAATTATGTCTCGTCAAGATTTGATGAGATTTTTGGTAGTGCAGAGTGGCAAAACCACGCAAAGAATCGACAACGTCAAGTCGACAGAGAAAGGAAATTTTTGTTCACTGAGAATGCTGTTGGAAGATCAAGGGAATATTACCGGAAACTAGCACTAACATTGGTGCCACTATCAAACAAACACTATAATAAACAACCCAACTAAATGAATAAACAAATTTATACATACATTATACCCGGCTTGTGATATGTAAGCCATACCCTATTTATTGTAATACAGTCTCCCACTTAACTCTCCTTCTCCTCGACCCCCCTCCCCGCACTTGTAGGTGACTCGCTCGGGGCTTCTTTTCTCAAGCAATAGCTTGTTCTGCAAAAACAAACAACTTCCGTATTACGACGATTACGAGAAACGCAAAGTTAACTACGGGATACCATTACTTTCAGAGGGGTTCACTTATCGGCAATAATACAACAATGAAATTTGCTAGGTGCCTTCTCGTCACGAAAGAAGAGATATCTCAACCCTCAAACATTACCGCATTGAGAAATCATCACACAACACAAAACCTTTCACTTCATCCTGTATTTTGCTGCGATCTGAGGCACATAAAGGAAAAAAAAAAGAAAAACATTAAAGTTTTGTTCTAATGAACAAAGCAACTATTTTTGTGCTTTTTTTTGCAACCTTTAATGGTATGTGTATGCATTTCTCTTTCGTAACCAAGGTTTTCAGTAATACCAGGCGCTGCCCGGTATTTAGGGTTACGAATAAATATGCTGATATTTAAAGAGGTAACATTTCCTCTATTCGAAAGTATCTAATTGCTAATTATAACCAATAATTCACGACATAATGGGTATGCAACCACTATACGTCCCACAAGAAGGAAGATTCGTTGCTCCTCCAATAACCATTAACTCACAGTGAGGGAAAGGGAAAACACCACTCCGCGTTATTTTGGAACTCCGTTGGGAGATTGAATTTAGAGCCCACTTTAAACACCAAATTTACTTCATTTTCAATAATAAGTTAGTGGAGTTTGATTCAGATAAAGCTAAAGCATTGGTTTTCGTTATATGTCAGTTATTCAACATTATGACCAGAGAACCCTTCCCTTTGGCTAGTCGCACATTAAACTACAGGGGAGGTCATCTCCTTGGTCTGAAACCCACCATATTGTACGGTCTTTTGGGTAAATTACGAACTACATTTGGGTGGGATTACTCACATATGAATCTCTTTAAAGAAGGAAAAGCAGTTGTCTACTCAAACATCATCAATCCAAAAGTTTTTCCATTATATAATCACGGCATACAATAC